CAATAACGCATTCATACCCAAACAAAGCAACTACTTCTTCTTGGACTAGTGCAATATTCAAATAGCAGGAAGCGCAATATTTGGCAAAGGCTAAATATGTGAAGATATCTGAATGAAGTATAATTAAATTTGATAATGGGAACCATATCGCAATACGAGTAAGATTAACCACAATCGTGCAGCACTGATTTTGGTAAACTTTACCACATACTGATAACAACCAGTCCCTGATAGGAAGTATTACTTAAAACAAGCAACACTTTATCAAATAAGAAACCTTTTTGATCATGCATTTGAGGCCCACTTTCGGTGTTTAATACTCTTGGCTTAAGACACAAATGTAATAAAACAAAGTCCTAAACCAGACAGGCGAAATCTTTATCAGCAAATGTTTCTCTATAAGACTTTTAAAATGTGTTTTCATCATATTTTTCCTCTATTCAGTCCAATAGTCTCCATTCACATCTCACTCGATCATGAAACCTAAATTTGACACTTTTGGAAAAGCCCCTCTTATTTAGCTAACTTACTCTAACCAGAACACCGCCTTCTAGCTAGCTAAAATATGTCCATATAACCCTAACCCAGTCTCTAAAATGTGACCCAGAGTCAGACTCGCCCTGGTCTTTGTCTGCGTCCGCGTCCGTGACACACACACACACACACACACACACACACACACACACACACACACACACACACACACACACACACACACACACACACACACACACACACACACACACACACACCACACACACACACACACACACACACACACACACACACACACACACACACACACACACACACCACACACACACACACACACACACACACACACACACACACACACACACACACACCACACACACACACACACACACACACACACACACACACACACACACACACACACACACACACACACACACCACACACACACCACACACACAAACACACACACACACACACACACACACACACACACACACACACACACACACACACACACACACACACACACACACACACACACACACACACACACACACACACACACACACACACACACACACACACACACACACACACACACACACACACACACAGGCCTTTCAGATGTAGGCCAAACAACCCCTCTCAGACTAAACACAGCGCTGGCCAGCCACAGCATTGCTCTCCCATTGGCTCATCACACATTCCTCACCCAATTAGAATTCCTCTCATACCTGTGGGGGCGGGGCACAGTCAGGGGGCAATAACCACTGTTTGCATTCAAGCTGAAATAATGAGTGATACACCCTCCACGGCGTAAAACATCCATACACACTTTCACTACTTTCTTTCAGTGTGCGGATCATCTGAAACACAACCCTGATGAAGCATTCCTTGAACTAGACTTGAAGATTGTTTTTGTGTTATTTTAAACAGATTACTTATATTGTATGTACCATGTTGGTACTGAAAGGGCTGCACAAATGTAACCAAATGTTATCAAAATCATAATATGGACCAGTGGAATAATCAGACCAGAGAAAGCTGCATTTTTGATAAAAGGTTTAATATATATATATTTTTTTTAAACGTTTTTAGATTATTGCGAAGCAGCCTACAAATTGGATACACCAGACTTAATAAAATGTTTTTGTTTGAAACATATCCTCCTCTTTTTTTACCACTACATAATCTTTTAATATACGTTTCAATCATAAGGGATGTTATGGTTCAAATACGACATCACTCCAATATCATGAATCATATTGAAATTGCAATTTTAAGGGAAATAATTTCTAACAGTGATTTTTCCTTAAAGGTCCCATGTCATGCTTTTCCGGTTATTACCCGTCCCCTTGTGTGTTATGAAGGTTTTTCTGCATGTAAACGGTCTGCTGAGTCACAAACCCTCAAAGTACACCCTGTAGCGAGTAAAACTCTAACACAGAAAATACCTGTCTATGCTGCCCCAGAACGCCTCGTTGGAGAATTCTCTTTTTCTTCCTGGGTCCAAATGGACCAATCGGTGGAGCCGTTACGTTACGTCACGTCCGCGGAGCCGTTACGTTAAGCCAGGCTGCGGGTGTGTGTGTGTGTGTGTTCGGGCTGGGTTTCGCTGTGTCTCGCAGACGGCCACTGGGCTCATAGGGAGGGGGGGCAGGAGCTCCAACAAGCCGTTTAGGACAGAGAGTGAATACACATACTATACAGAGATGCTGTATGAGAAACCAATGTGAGTTTGGAAAATAGCACAATATAAATCTATTTTAGTAGACCTCAACAATGGAATTATGATCAGTAGAAATGGCCATGACATGGGACCTTTAAGATGCAGCTCTATACTGAACCAATTCCCTATGACTGTATTTCTCCTAACTTGGGCTCAAGCTAAGGATTATTTTAATTGTTAATAAATCGATCAACTGTTTTCTTGGAGGGCTTGAACTAAAACAGGAAATACTGCTGTTGTGAGCCTGGATTGACAATTGAGACACTATGTGTAACTGGTTAATACAGATAAACATATCTTGTAACTAAAATGAGAAAAATGTATGATAAGGTGAGAAGTATGCCAGATCTGGGAGTGTAGGTTTCGTCAATACTCTCTGTCTCTGCTCTGCAATAATCAAAATACTCTGCTCTCTTTAAATAAAAAAAAAAGGAATAGAGTAGGAAAATAAACAGCCAGCTTGTAGCTCTTTTACTCAGCATCATCCCTCACAATCATACACTTGAAGTGCTCTCCTGCACCGATGCATACAGACCAAAAGACAGACAGGCAAGCACATTATGGTGTGTGTTTGCTCAACTTTGAATCAGAAGAAGGACAAGGCGTCTGCCCAGCGGCGCAGAGTGGTCATTACCATTTGAATAGAGGCCCCTGGGTGCCCAGTGGGGTTACATTAGCTACAGTAAAAACCATTGTTCCAGCTGTGTCCGTGTGTGTGAGGGAAAGAAAAGACTCCTATGTGCCCTACAGAGGAAAGACTGACCCTAAAACGAACACAAATATAGTAGAGTAGATAACAGGATGACCAAAAAAGCAAACTTGTCAAGCTTTTCTGGGTAAGACTGAGTTTACAGAGTCAGTCACATTAGTTTTGCTCCAGCTGACACAGCAGCAGAGGTGGGAGAAGTACTCAGTGTAGAATTACTCTGTTACAAGTACAAGTCCTGCAACCAAAAGGTTACTTTAGTAAGAGTACAGAAGTAATGGCATCAAAACATACTAAAATACCAAAAGTAAAAAGTACTCATTATGCAGATTGACCGATTTTATAATAATATATATCATTTGTTTTGATTATAATTGAATGACTTTGTATGCTGCAGGGTAGCTTGTGAATTTACTCCAGGTGTAACTAAAGTATTTTTTAGGTGTTGTTTATATTTAACATCATTTAACAACATCTCCAAAGTAACTCAAAGTCACAAGTAAATGTAGGGGAGTAAAAGTACATGATTTACCTCTGAATTGTAGGGGGGTAGAAGTACAAAGTAGCTAAAATTGTACTTTGACAGTTTTATTCCACAGGCCATAAGACTGTTGAACTCCTGAGCTCTGAAGTGCCTTGATAACTTTTAAGCATTCATCTGTTTGCATGTCTCACATTTATTTATTTATTACTACCATAGGCAGTGTTTTATCTCTATAGAGTATTTCATTTTACATTCTGTTTTAGCTAATCTTATTCTATTGTACATGTATATAGTTTACTGCATACACATTTGTCACTTTCTCTTGCACTATTTGATGGGTTCTTCTTGCACTTTATTTGATTGTTTATGTCTTATATACTTATGTAGCATTGTTGAAGGAGCATGGGGTTTAAGATTTCCATTGCCATAACTACACTGTAGCTACTGTGCATCTGACAATTGAATCCTAAGTACAGTACTTGAGTACATCTACTTAGTTACTTTACACCACCGCACAGCAGCGAAATCCATACTCATGGCTAATGCATGCTAGCATTTTTAAATACACCGAGAGATTGATTTTGTTTCACACCGGGTGTAGTTCGACATTAGCTTTAATCCCAGGATCAGAGCTCATCACATTCAGGTCAAGCGATGTGTTCGGCTGGTCAAACCCAAAAAATATGGGTGTAGCTAGCAGGCGTTAGCGGTCAACGGTAACTACAGTGTTACTATAAGCTAACGCTAGCTGGTTGGGAAACAAGTGTTGGCAAATCGTAAAGTGTTTTAATATAGCTTTCGAGAGTGGGTGTTTCTAATGACCTGTAAGGATAGGTATTGTATACAGTGAAACCCACATTGATAGTGAGTAGCTTTCTCGACTGTCCTCTCGGTAATTTGGGTTAGCATATGAGCTAACAAGCTAGCACTTGTGCCTCCAGGAAGTGTGCCGGCCGTTGGAGCAAATTATCGTAGTGGCTAAACGGCGGTACTACAACTTCAGTATCAGTCTGTGACGTCGCTGGGCCCAAAAATACTATTTCCCCATTGACTTACATTGGGAAAGAGACGTCTGTTAATCAGCGTATATATTTTTTTAAAGCCAATTAAACTACCCACCAAGAACACTTGTATATCCCTTATTTAAAGAACTATGGTCTTAAAGTTGTAAAATGAAGTTAAAAGCTGAATCCAGAGTTATTTTATCTCTCCATTCATTTGACTCAGCCGAGAGCGGGAGATCGGGGGCGGGGCTAAAGGGAAAACCGAACTGCGCAAGCTCTATGGGCCCACATACGGGTACTTTTGCTCAGGCCGTTTTGAGCTTCATGCGCCACTGAGCATCTCTCATAGAAATGAACGGGGTCCCGCCTCCGACGCTGTATCCAGTTCTCTTTATACATCTATGGGCTGTGTTTGCCGGATGTTTGGGCAAACAGCAGAGCCGAGAGCCTCAAAGAGACACTGTTAGGTTTGCTAATAACAACACTTTTAAACTGTGGTTTGTATGGAGAAACAATTTAGCTCCAGTTAAAACATGCACCGTAAGCGCTTTCTTTCTTTCGGTGTCGTTTTTTTTTTACCTGTCAGTCGGATTTTGATGCTGGACCCGTTCCTCCGAGTCCCAGGATTCGACATCACTCCGGGAAAAAACGATCACTCAAACTTCCCCGTTGGAGTCCCCTCCAAAAACACCGTTTCTCCACTCAATGGGAACGCGAAACACTTACGTTTAAAAACATGCGGTTTGTTTTTGTTTTCCACACGGGTAAAAATGTATTATTTCATCGCAAAGTCCTGTGCTCTTTCGAAATCCAACAACACGGGAGAGCATTTTCGGGCAGGCTCAAGCACGTACTGACGTCATGTCCTTAACGGGTATAACGTGACGGGCGCGCGTCCGGGAAGCGTGGGCGTGCCCGTAAAGATCAAATTCTTACATTGAAGCCTTCAGTTCTGCTTTATTTTAAAGTACTGTATTCCACACTAGTAAAAGCAAAAATACCCGTGACAAAGCCTATTTATGTTAAATGTCACTGTATTTTTATGATTATAAAGATAGATTTAAAAGATAATGTTTAATTAAGAAATAAAGTAGTTCAAAATGGGAATGCAATGATTGAATATATTTAGGTTCTTTGACGTACTTTAGCCTACATATTTTTTTCTGGTTACTCCCAGTCCCACAATAGCCTCTTTAATACCACCAGCACATGGATATTTACTCCCAAAAGTACTTTAAAAGATGTTTGTATATACCAGTCTCCATTCAAGCTTTTGTAGCATCAATACATACAAATGTAAGTATTACATACGTCTTCATAAGAAATGTCTCAGATGTTATGCATCCTTCTATGGTTATTCTTTTTTTCTCCAATAACAACAATTAATCCATTTAAATTGCATAGGCATAATATCACTGTGTAAAAGAGATTATTTGTCTCATTGTTGCCCACATTCACCATCCCACACATCTGATTTCCATGTTCTTATAAATATTCAGAGTCTACGATTGTTTACTCCATAATGATAAGTAATATTATTAGCATTGTATTTCTTATCAAAGTGAACCAGCAAGTAGTGATGTGGAAACCTCAAACATACATCAAATCCAGTTAAACTAAATGCCTTTTATTTATCAAAAATCATACAATATACCTATACTTGTACTTATAGAAAACGTTAGTCAGGATTGTAAAGCGACCGGTTAAAGGTTGTGGGAGAGTTGGGTGTTGGGGGATAATGGCTGGAGGGATTTGGCTCTTTAGCGGCCCTGGGGTTAGCTGCACGGCTGCAGTATTAGCTGCTGGAACAATGGACCCTCTCACCAGCCTGTTTACAGGACACAGTAAATCCATATAAGCTGTGAAAAGTCTGGCGGGACACCACACACTTCCAGAGGCTAGACAAACACGCACACAGGTGGAATTAATGATTTCAATACCTTTCAGTCTTCCTCTTTGAATCATGTTTCAGTCTCTTCTTCCCACTTTTTGTTTTTACATCAGTTTATGTGGTTGCATCATGTATGTCTCAACCATAGGGGTCTCAACGCTCCACAAGTGGTCATATTGCCAAAAACAGATAGACACGTACACACACACACAAATTAGCTTATCCCTCCGAAACGGTCATGTGCAGTGCAGCTGTTAGTATGAATTTGCTTGTCTGAGATAGTGTGTGTGTGTGTGTGTGTGTGTGTGTGTGTGTGTGTGTGTGTGTGTGTGTGTGTGTGTGTGTGTGTGTGTGTGTGTGTATATTTACAACTACTTCAATAAGTCAAGTTCTACCCAAATCATTTCACACATCTCCTAACACTTCCCCTGTTTGTTTTTTTTACATTAATAACATCTGTTTAATGTATAAAGGCTTTTGCTTCAAGTATTCTTTAAATACTTTTAGTGAATATTCTTTATGGAACTTTTTATTTGTGTTATTATATTTTTTGGACAGACAATTTTCTTTTAAATAGTGAGCAGGATATGAACTGCCTGCTTCAACCACTGAGCTATACAGCAGCTTGTTCAATGAGGTGTGGTTTGAAGTGATTCAATTACATGACCTTTTCTTTTGTTCTCCCAAAGTGATTTACGTATAAAAAAAGACAAAACAGGGACAAGAGACAATGGGGCAATTTCATTTGGCTACATGAAGAAGAGAAAGAAGATAAAGATGAACAGTAAAAGACAGTTTAGATATTATTACATAAGAATATTCTCCAGGCTTTAACATAGATTCCTTAAAACTACACCCACATTTCTTGAGGTGGCTGTTTCTTTGTAAAGCTGAAAAATGTGGACTCGACAAACATCAACTCTTCTGAGTGTGTGTCAGTCTGTATCTCTGTACCCCCTTTAGGGAACCAGACTAACATCTGCCACAGTTTTGAAAACCGTCAAATTGAGGCTACATTCTGTATATGATCAGGATACAATGATTCAAAAAAAGTTTCCCTAAAAGCTCTTCAATGAGCTTTGGTGGACACAGGGTTATTTTTTGGTTATGTTACAAAAGTTTGGGCAAATTTGGCCTCTAAACAAAATCAGAAATCTGTTTCTACTCTTTGAGCAACTGTTTCAATATAACATGGTTTGAAATTGGGCAGTCTGCAGAGAAAGAGGAGGAAGAAACCTGTGGAGAAGCAACAAAAAAGACAACAAAATGGCCGTCTTAGTATCTGCATGTCTATGATTTGAATATAAGATGCCTTACTCATCCACATTCTTAACTGGCGCACAGAGAGATAGCAGTTTTAAGAGCAGATGTGGGAGGTGGAGAAGATGGTCCAAGTCTGAGTGATGGCTTTCCAGGGAAACCCTAAATGGCCTAAATCTGGACGGAGGCAGATTGAAGAATTCCCAAATCTGACATTCCCTGGCAGATCGGAGGGATGAGACCTCGGGGTGATGTCTGGTTTTAGAGCTGTGACCATATTAAGAAGATGAAGGACTGATATAAAAGAGACTGATCTTAAACACCTGTATTCCTCCTGATTGTACCTCCATGTCCTGCATTTGTGAGTCAAACACTGTTTAAAGGTCCCCTATGATACTGTTTTTCATCAATATATTATAGGTCTCAGATATATACAAAACATGTCTCTGAAGTGTTTGGCTCCAAACACCAAACAGATCATTGTAGCATCCCATAATCCCCTCTGTTTCAGCCCTGTTTCAAAAGTGCTGATTCTCTGTCTGTTACTTTAGATGAAAATAAGGAGCCCCTTCCCACGCCCCTCTGAGAGATATTTGGTTAAAAAGAACACAATGGTGCTCTAGGAGGAGATTCAGGTGATAAGGTGGGGGGGGGGGGGGTTACCTTGGTTGGTGATTGGCTAATGGTTACACAAGCCAAAACATCGTTATGACATCATAAAGTGGCCAAAATCTGATCAGCTCATTTTCAGACAGGTTTTTATATAAATGGATCAGGACAAAAAGAGAGAGAATCTTTGTTCCTGAAACTTTCAGAATCTCTTTACACAGAGGGGACACATGTTGATGTGGAAGAGACATGAAGAAGAGGGGACACATGGTGATGTAGAAGAGACATGAAGAAGAGGGGACACATGTTGATGTGGAAGAGACATGAAGAAGAGGGGACACATGTTGATGTAGAAGAGACATGAAGAAGAGGGGACACATGTTGATGTAGAAGAGACATGAAGAAGAGGGGACACATGTTGATGTAGAAGAGACATGAAGAAGAGGGGACACATGTTGATGTAGAAGAGACATGAAGAAGAGGGGACACATGTTGATGTAGAAGAGACATGAAGAAGTGGATTTTGCATGATAGGCGACCTTTAACTGATGGCTAATTTCTTCCTTTTACTTCTAACACACTTTTGTGAGTTGGTTTCTTGGTTGGTTTGTGTTGGTGGCAGCAGCAATCATGCCTTATAATGGGGATTGGGGGGACGATGTGGACCCCCCGCCGCTCCTGGTTGCCAATGAGACGGAGCGCCTGGATGCTATGAATAAACCATACGACATCAAGCGCTCCTTCTGGATCAAAGACGAGAAGGAAGCTTTCATCGCTGGAGAGATTCAGCCTGAAGACGGGGACAAAGTCACCGTCAAGACCTCCAAGAACTCGATAAGACTGACTGTACACAGAAGTCCTTTTGACTTAAATACATGACATATTATTATTAATCTCATTTTGATCTTAATAATCAAAGGATGCAAGTGTGTTCTAGACACATCTAGAGTACGAAAATACATAGATCACAAATAACACACAATACAACATATTCTGGATAAACTACAATGTTCTATAAAAGCCCCCAAAAAAGCAGCAACTGAAATATAGACATATAAAACATATATACTATATAGGATAGTATATAACTTACAAATCTGCAAGGTAGCTGTTGAGCAAATGGTTCATGATTATAGAGAGTGTGAAACAAAAACTGGAGCAAGTTGGCAGAGAGGTAAGTGGTATGTGATGATTTGGGAAAAAGCCCCCCCGAGAGGAGTTGCCTAAAAGTCATTACACTGTTCTTGCTGTGGAAAGAGGGAGTGGGGCCGTAGCTTTGCAATCAGTGTGCTGTACGATGATTTGTTCAGGGAGCAGAACAACATTTGTAGTCATTACACGGCATCAGGGGAGAGCTGACAGCTGTCTGTGTCGTTGGTTCTGCTGACAGAAACATCAGCAGGCCTGGGATCAGCAGCACACAGGGAAATCTACAGTAATTATCCTCTCTTACTCTCTTTGTTTCTCCGCCCTCTCCATGTCCTATCATCTACAGAGCATGAGAACCAGTCTATGCTGATTTAAAGGACAACGTGTATATTTGGTGATTCATTTCATTCATTCATTTGATTTATTCACGAGTTAAATGCAATCATAATGGAGTGATGTGCAATGGGACACCCCAATAAGCTATACAAAGCTTGATAATAGGGGTTCAGACAATACAAATAAAGTATTTACATGATATATCCTGTACATATGGAATTGACAGTTTGTGTATTATACAGAAACATTAGAACCAAAAACATACCCCACACTAACCAAAAACCATAAAAAACGATCCGTTCATATTTTCTTTCTGGATGAGCTGACTTATTCATGATTTGCTTTGATTTTAAATATGTGATTACGCCTGTCAAACATCTTCATGACAAATGAGAAAGTATACAAATGAGCCTGTTGATGGTGCTATTGCCTCTCTTTGTGTTTCTGTTGTGGATACACTCTCTTCTCACTTCTCTCTCTGTATGCTTGTGTGTCCGTAGCAGGAAGCCTTTGATGTGCTGGGCTTCACGGCTGAGGAGAAGATGAGTGTGTACAAGCTGACTGGAGGCATAATGCACTCCAGCAACATGAAGTTCAAACAGAAAGCCAGGGGGAACAAGCTGATGTGAAATCCACTGGGGGTATACAGAGTCCACCTCTCTCTCTCTCTCCAGGCTTTTCTCTCTATCTATTACTGCTTTACTCCAAATCACATCATCTGTATGTCAATTCAGTCGCATTTTACACAAACATTATTGAATTGTCTTTGCTCTCAATACAAAAAACAAAAAATCAAATAATACACCGGTTATATTCATCCAAAAAGTGACTTCCAGGGAAATGTTTTATGGTAACGCAGCATTCAGTTATTATGCTCCAAATATCTGGAACAAACTCCCAGAAACCTGCAGGTCCGCTGCAACTCTTACTACTTTTAAATCCAGGCTGAAGACTTTTCTTTTTGCCGCTGCTTTTAATTGAACTATTCACATCTTAAACTGCACTGTAACTTTTATCCATGTATTTTTTCTTTTAATGTTTATTTTATTATCTTTTCTTTTTAATGACTGATTTTAAATGCCATTTTCTTAATGTCTTCCATTTTTGTAAAGCACTTTGAATTGCCTTGTGTTGAAAGGTGCTATATAAATAAACTTGCCTTGCCTTGCCTTGCTGCTTATTAAATACTTTTAAGTCAATATAGCTAAAAATACTTATCCTTAATTACGGTTTTCTATGCATTACTTGTAGTGTAGTACTTTCACAGTGTTGTTTTGGATCTTCTTTCCCCCCACACCTATTGGCATAAAGTACACTGCGTATTTTCTCTTTCCACCTCCCTCTCTCTAGCCTATGGGGATTTTCTCCATCCTAGAGGAGCAGTGTGTGTTTCCAAAGGCGACAGAAGCCACCTTCAAAGCAGCGTTGTATGAAAGCCACCTGGGCAAGTCCAACAACTTCCTCCAGCTCAAAGGGGGGAAGAAAGCACAAGAGGCCCACTTTGAACTGAGTACTGGGTTGTACTAATAACACTGTATAAAAAAGGGGCCCTATTGCATCCGTTTCTGTCAATTGCTATCTCTGAATGTAAAGTAGGATGTTTAGCTGTGTGTGTGCATGGGTCCATTCATTGTGTCTCTCACAGGTGGGCTACAACATCGCTCACTGGCTGGAGAAGAACAAAGACCGGTCTCATCCAGAAATCCTCTATGCATTTGCTGTCTCTGCTTTTCAAAGAGGAGGCGGCCGCTCCGGGAATCAAGGAACAGAAGAAGGGGGTCGTCTTTTCAACCCGTCTCCAACTTCTACAGGGTAACTCACACAGATGCATGGATGCACTGTATGTACTGTACAGTGCAATCATTTCACAGAAGATGGCAGTAATCAGAATTCTTAAAGGGCCAGTGTGTAGGATATAGTGCCATCTAGTGGTGAGTTTGCAGATTGCAACTCATTTATATACCCCTTCTGACCACCAAAGTTCATAAGGGTGTCAGATAACCTTCAATAGACATTAGTTAACATTGAAATATTTTAAGGTCATCTCTCTATAGCCAGAGTTTGGTTTGTCCTTCCTGGGCTACTGTAGAAACAATTGGCCTGTGTGAAATAGTGGAAGAGTACCTCCTCCCTGTGCAGATAAGAATATCTAATTCGTTAGCAAAGGTTAGCTTTTTACTTCTGGCATCTATGCTTCAAAATGCATGCATGTGCTATGTTCAGTCAGTCTTGGGGAAAAGGCAGTTACATGCAATATTCTTCTATATTTTTGGGTGAACTGTCCCTTTAATAAATATGGATAGGTTACCACAGAGCAACAAAAACAAAAAGGCATCCGTCTCATACATCAACATGGAATTTATTTTCATTTTAGTTTCAGATGAACGTTTCACATTTTGTACAAAATCATTAGAAAATGCCTGACAATCCCCCGGCTGATCCTGGTCTTCGCGGCCTCAGACACCAAAAGGATTATGGGGGAATCATGCAGCATCAGATGATGAGGCTCAGTCTGAGCTCCAGATCAGTCAAATTATACTCTGCAGTTCACTCCTGATCGCTGGTCATAACCTGACACTATGGTACAGTGATGTCCTGCCATGTCTAATGTACAGTGGAGGAGAGGAAGATGATTGATCACTTCCTGCATACTGACTGCCTTTATATCTCCGATGTATGGACGAAGTACCACGTCAACAACACCATGCATGTTTTCTTACGCATGATACATCGTCGGTTATGTAGATTTAAGAAAAAGATCATTAATATCAATTTAAAATCAACCAATGACTGCAGGCCATGATGACAGGGTGGGCGGGGAATCCACTGAGCCAGTTTGGATGAGGTACAAGTGAGCAGGGGATGGGGCTAATTACTCAGTGTTTTGCTAATGTACATGCCCAGCACACACACACACTCTCACACACACACACACACACAAATGAAGTGTCAGCACAAGCGCACACTTGAACGCAAACACCTCTGCCTCATGCCGAAGGCTTCTGAAATGATTCTTTGGAGGGTAAAGTCGAGCCGGAGGAGCGATCCTGGACACTGTGTGTGTGTGAGAGGAAAGTAAAGAGAGTACACACACCCTCCGTTAAGATCCGACAACTGAAAATAGATTTTATTAAGCCGATGCAAAGAGAAACCATGACAGCGGGGCAGAGAGGCACTTACACAATCACTTTCATTTTACACAGTGCTTGCGTCTGTGTGTCTTTAAGTGGAGACACAGCTACATGTTCTTTTCTTTTTTTAGACAAACACACACACACTCACATTTACTCGTTTTCACATTGGAGCATGTTTTCTTTTAGCAGTTGGCACATGCAAAGCGTCAGTTTGGCCTGCGCAGGCGAACTGAGGGGAAAAGGGAGCGAGGATTAAAGGAGGGCAGAAGTGAGGAGAAAATTGTTTGTGAACGATAAACGCAGACAGACTGACAGACGGGCTCTTGAACAGCGTTTAAAAACACCCCCGTCTCTGACCCCGCCCCCCCCTCCCACCTCCTTCTGTCACATGTTCATAGCAGCACCAGAGGAGCTCTCTGATTGGTGGGAACAGCCATCCGTTAAGTCAGTCAGTCAGTTTCCAGGATGAGCGGCGGCTGCTCGTTCTCCTCCTCTAAGCGCAGGTCGTTCAGGTCGTCTTCAAGCCCCGCCCCCCCGACAGCGCCCTGCTCCTCGCTGTAACCTAGGAAACAAGAGGTCAAAAGGTCAAATACTTAAACTTTGTACTTTTAAGAACTTAAAAACGGTGTTGTTATCATTAGCAGGGTTGATAAAGAAGGATTAGCTGCAGACAGATACACGTTCACGTCTGACAGACAACACTGAGGGCTCAAAATAACAAACCAGGCCCATCCTCTTGAGACTTTCTCCCTTACAGTTCGTTTACAGTCATTATGAGATGTAGTTTTGCTTTGGTGCTGCTATACTTTGTTCGGACAAAAACACTCATACAGTAAGTGCTTGTAAAACTAAAGGGTCCTCCTTATACCTGCCATGTCTTTTAATAACATTCAGACAAAGACAAAACAAAGTTGAAGTGAATCCATCACATATTCTGTTTCTGGTTTGCCAAAAAAAAGGAGAGGGAGGCGTCAGAGGTGCATAGTTAAAAAAAGAGAAAGCTGAATAATTTCTAATTCTGAACTATAAAAACATAAATTGATGAATACAACTTTGGAAAACAACATTTAGTTTGATGTGGTTCATTTTTAAGGGTTTTTGAGTTAAAAGAGAGTTGCTATTTTAGTATTCCATTACTTAAAGCCCTGTTTGAACATGACTTGAAAATAGTAACAAAATAAAATGTTAATGTGATTTTTCTTTTATGATTTCCTTCCTGAAATTACTTATATTTCTATAAGTATTATTCCTCTGGAAATAAACACAACGGAATTCCCTGCAGCTATAACATTACATCCACTAAACTTCTCTGAACGTGTAAAGCAAAGTATTTCTGGTGAACATGTGTGTAACGTACCTTTAGTGACGGCGGCGCTGTAGGTCTGGGCCACCAGAGGGCGGTCATGTGACTGCTCCAGGATCTCATTGGATGGCTCAGCACTGCCGTCTAACCTGAGGGGGGTCAGTTACAGAAGCTCTGAGTGAAACGCTCCAGATTCAGGCTATTGTCACCTTACATCTGTTCACTGAGTGTGTGAGTGTGAGTGTGAGCGTGCGAGCGTGTGTGTGTGTGTGTGTTACCTGTGCTGCTTCATGAGTGTGCATTCCCCCCCCTCCTGTGGATCCAGGTTGTACAGATACAGGTAACCATCAGCCGCAGCCACCAACAACCGGGGAATCTTCTGAATCCTGAATAAAACAAGAACAAACAGACATGCAATAATGCTTTAGCTACCATGGCTTGTATGTGGTTGTTAGTTAACGGTTAATACTGTGAAGGGATCAGTTCCCCTTGTATAAAACAAAATAATCTGCACCACTTTCTTTTCAAAGGACTTCATTAAGGACTCCACCAAGTTCATTAAATGTGCCTTTCTAAACGGTTTAATTAAATCTAGGTCTCCAGCAGGTTACGTGATATATATGTCTTAAATGAAGCGAAACTATAAAGTCTGCATCTCTTACGTAACGTCCACACGGTTCCGTCGTGTGCTTCAACGGAGACGCTCCCCATTCACTTCGAATGGGGTGACGTCAAGCTTTGCCGAACTGCATTGTGGTTCCGTCGCGTCGCTTTGCCTCCGTTGCTCACTTTGAAAGTTGAGAAAAGTTCAACTTTTAAAGCGTCGACGGAAGCGCCAGCCGATTAAATCATATGCCAGTACAAGCGCTAGCCAATCAAACCGCGTGCTTGTGTGTCCGGGGCGGGAGATTAATGTGATTGGTTGTTGGTCGTGCGCCAGACACGCCCACCGGCAAGCTTCAACGCGACGGAACCGTGTGGACGTACCGTTATGATCATCAACTGAATTTCATACATGTATATCTGCAGACTGTTATTGGGCGATATTACTTATTATTCAACTTTCACTTCCTGTTTTAAAAGCAGGGCCGACACTACACCGCAATTAGTGCTGGATGTGTAAAACCATATTGTGTGTGTGTGTGTGAGTGTGTTTTTACTCACACAGCTAAGGCGCAGATGTTCTTGTGTCCGCAGAAGGGCAGGCGTACGGTGGCGAAGGCTCGGCCCTGTGTGAACATTTCCGTCACCTGAGAAGGCAGGTAGGTGGTGGACGCCATCAGCACCTTCCCCAGGTACCCCCCCCATGTGGTGGGCTCTTCCGCTGGCCTGCACGCACACACACACAAAAACACACACATGAGCAATTCCGCAAAAAAAAATGGGTGCAGGTCAACGTGTCCGGGTAGATTTCAATGTCCCAGACACATGGGACATTTTAAAATGAAAGCATGTGTATTTATGTATACGGAAATAAATATAATTCAAATGATCATCCAAAGACTTAAGACAAATAAATACATGTTACATATTTCTACACCGTAACTCTTAACACAAAGACTTTCCCCTTAGCTTTTACGCCAACATATTGTTAAATAAAAAAACAATAAAAACAATAATATACAAATTAAATTCAAGAGAATAAAACTATTATAATAAGTATACACATGTCTGGCTCAATTTTTTTTAAATAAATACGTAATGTTGGCTTTATGAGGGCTTGGGGGGGAATATTTTTTACCGGACATTATGAACGTGAGATTTTAATTGAAAGAGATCTACATTTCTCGGACTTCAAGTGACTGACACACGCGCAGACACAAAGAACGTGAGAAGCTTCTGTTTCTCTGAGGAACATTAAGCATCAGGAGAAGTTTATTCAAATCTGAAGTAATATTTGGAAGACAGGAAGGTACGTACACATACTTCTCCTTCTGCGTCTCTAGTTTGAAGATGTGGACGGTCTCTGTGTTGCTGGAGGCCGACAGGTACAGGCCCTCCATGCTGAACGCCAGCGAGCAGATGCTCACACACCTGAGAGAAGAAACACACACAGGGTGAACACACATACACAGTTCACACAACACACACACAAAATGACGAGGGCTGCCGCTGTACTGAATTACATGAACTTAAGACAAAAAGAAATCCAACAAAATCTACAATTTAAATAAAATGATACATCAGATTAGTTAGTCTTGTTTTTCCATTTTCTATTTTGTGTGCCTCTCTGCATTTGTCAAAGAGGCGGGCAAAGTGTTTTGATGGCAGTGAAAATGGTGTTTGTAAAAGGTGTAAAACCAAGTGTAAAGTAACCAGTATGAATAACAATGAGACCAATAGAAGTAGGAAGAAAACCGGTCGTAGTTGAGTTTCCATATAAACAGATATGAGTGAATAATCTACCTCTTGACTCCTCTCCGAAACTCAAAGAGCTTCTGTCCCTCTGGGATTGAGAAGACTCGGATGACTGTGCCCTGAACAGGAAGTGAAAGACAAAAGTTACACTTAGAGGCGAAGCAACTGCGGTGATGTTTACTCTCTCAGGCGGGAAACACACACTGCTTAGCAGACCAGTGCCCTTTAGAGTTACCTTCTCCGAGGCGGTGGCCAGTTTGGTTCCACTGGCGTCGAAAGCCAGAGCCGCTAACGGGCTGTCGTGAGCTGGGATCATGTTAGCCCGCTCGTCTGCTCGGAAAACACATACAGACACTAGTTAGATAAGCGCGACAGAAAGATACTCATAAATAATGAGTGTTGGCTTTGACTGATGAGAGGAAACACTAGCTGTCAGAACAGTGAGCACGGATCATTTTAAAAAGCAATTTAATGAGCAACAGAAACCTCAGCTGTGAATAAAACGATTACGTGGCTGCATGAAACGGTTATGTAAAGGAAGAAATAAGGAAGTAGGAGCCACTGTGGCTCAGGGGAGGTAAATAAGTGTCTACTAATCAGACAGTGGTTTCATCCCAGGCCCCAAAAAAGTTTCATAAGTTTTGCCAACAGTATTGAAGTGTAGTAGTATGGGGAGAGTGAAAGTAACACTTTTCAGATGACCGTCATTTTATCGGCAAACGTTACAGACAGAAACCGGGTTTTTGTTGTGATCATCAACTCGCATGTGTGTTCTGTCAAAACGAGGCGCTGTTTTGTATACATTTAAAATTAATTAGGTATCATTTGAGCTTGAAGTGAAGTTGAGACTCGTTACTTTTGACACCGTTTATTAGTTATTTTTACAAAATAAACCTGACATTGTGCTTGTTGATAAGCAATTGCAAGCATATTTTGTTGTCCCAGTTCTTCCCTAATTAAAGGTAGGGTAGGTAAGAATGGAGAAACCAGCTCGAGTGCGCGAGAATTTGAAAGTACACAACTGGAAAAAATCTGCCTCTTCCTTCAGACTTCCTTACAGAGCCCCTCCAACACACATGAACGCACACATGACCAATGAGGGCACGAGATAAGTTTGTGCACAGATGGAAGGCTGACAGGCAGGTAGGCCATCCAGTCATCTGACCCGGGCCGGCTCAGATGATTGGTCGTGCTTTTTACAGCGCCACGGCTTCCACAGATGACATGTTTTATGTATTATTGTCAAAGCATTTAATGTATTCATTGCTATCGGGATGTTAAGAGCATTCCATGGAATATAACAAAAGGTGTTTCTGAAGTGAATTACCTACCCCACCTTTAAGTTGCTTTGGATGATCCTGCTTAAATAAGCGTGTAAGCATCATAAACGTGTGTTTTGCTTTTTGTCGAGGGACCACTTGTGATGTTTACTTCCATGTCGGCTTACATAAATACATCAACACTGCACCTCTCTATTCAAAAAGAGCTTCCCTGTGTTGGTGTTCACCTACCAGGTTGACTGTGTCGAACACTTGGACCTCTCCTATCGTAGCGCTGCCTGGGTAGGCCAGATAACAGTTATCATTGCTGATGGAGAGGGCGCATAATCCTGCAGAAATATGAGCAAATACACCAATAAGCAAAGAAAGAAAGATTTTAAAAAGGACCACGTTTATCTAAACTTGACAAAAGTGAAACTGAAAGAATGACACAAGTACAAAGTGAGATGACAATCATGTAAACAGTTCTGACAGCGTAAGAAAAACAAACATCACAGGAGTATCTCACAGAAATCTTTCTGCCTTGAGGGCTTCAGCAAAAACAATGGAGTTAATTTGGAACACAAATAATAAGAGATTCTAGGAATAAAGGCAAAACCAAAATCGAATAACTATTTTATACGACATACATAGGGGTGGTGGAAAAATCTCTAAATGTAAGAATCGAGATTTTTATCTTTTAGTATTGGAAATCCATTCACAATTTCCCAAAATCCATTTTTAAAAAGGTTCATTTTAGATATTTTTAGATATACCTAGATATGTTTACTGATGGACATTTATTATATACACAAAACTACACAAAGTTGAGTCAATCATTAGGGTGTGATTTGTAATTAGCACACACAACACCAGTTGACGGTGTTATTATTACTGTAATTGGGAAATACCCAAAGAATGATACCCCTCCCATGTGCCATACCTACTTTACCAAACACATACTACACTATGTTGCTGGCCACACTCACCTGATGGGTTGGGGGGGGTTTCTCTGATAGTGTGCAGCACTTTCATGTCTCGGATGTTGTGAATGTAAAGTGACTCCTCCAGACAGACTATCAGCCTCTGCAGAGGAAACAGCAACATCATCACTGTCAGAGGCTCACATTGAGACATATCACTCAGAATAATGAATGTCTGACAGTCAGGTATTCAGCTACCTGTCTGTTGAGTTTGACGGCCAGTATAGTGTTGGAGTAGGAATAGTTGCAGATCTCCGTTCCCTTCTTGAAGTGACAGACTTTGAGCTTCCTCGGGGCCTTCAGGCTCACGATGGCCACCAGGCTGCTGGAGAACAGACGCTCCACGATACACACATCCTCCGTGTCCGCTACACACACACACACACACACACACACACTTTATTGAATATAGAACTAAAAGAATAACTATCTTAAAATGAAGCAGTCTAAATCACAGACCGTTTGTTTGCTCCTGAACACAGCGTCAACACTTTGAGCACACTGTGTACAGTTTGTTCAGTAAACTCATTGAGCTAAATTCATGAATTATAGATGACAGCTGTGCTTATTGTCTTCCCCTGCCTGACTACACTAACTGCTTTGCATCGAGTATTCAAATCAAACCGGATTATCAAAAGGTGCAGGTTAGCTCAACTCAACCTCACGTGCAAGATAATGGTACCATTATGGTAATGTGGCAGTGATCGTGGATAGACGGCATGCATTAAACACATCGACTAAAACGTATGACAGCTGAGCAATAATAAAAACACATAGTGATACTTGAAATCCTATTATCTCTCCTACACAAGGAGTTTGTACTCACTGACCAAGTGGTGGAAAGTAACCAAGTACATTACGTACAATTTTGAGGTACTTGCTTTTGAATAGTTTCCATTTCCTGTCATGTTTTACTTACTAGTCCACTACAGTTCAGAGGCATTCACTTTTTGACTTCAATGCATTCATTTGAAAACTTAAGATACAGAACCTTTGCAGATTCTTTATAAATACAAATATGGCTACAGCTATAATTCAGTTATTGAATTTATATTATTTTTGCATAATCTGTACTTTTGGTTATTGGTACTTTTGTATATGAGCAAAATAAAATCGAATTCATAAGAAAGACAGATTTATATAGAACCCAAGTTTATCTGACCGAGACAATATAGTGAAACTGAACAATGGCTCAAGAACAAGTGAAGGAAAACTAATATCACAGAATAAACCACGCAGTTAACAGAGCTAAGGGTCAACAGCAAACACAATGGATTTCATTGTTAACGAAGAACATAACTTGTAATTTGAGAATAAAGAGGAAAGACAAACAAAACCCAGGAGAAGTGTCCCGCCCCTGGTTTGAGCAAGTAGTCAAAGAAAAAGATAACCCCTTCTTCCTCAGTATTTCATGAGCTGATATCAATATCAATACATTAGATTCTTAACTGCTGATTCTTAACTGCTCAAAAACGAGTGTTTCTCTACATCTCTATATTGCTACTGATAGACAATAAATCATTCACACTAAGTCACTGTTGTCAAATAAGCAAATGTGTTTTTTAAAAAGGTAAAGAACTAGCTTAATCAAATACTTACGACAATTCATATATCTGCCTCCAATTATCCACAGAGGACAGGAGAAAAAACTGTATCCTGATTTGGTGCCAACGCTAAGGACCTACAAAATAACAGAAATGGACACACAGCAGCATTAACAATCATTGACTTAGTGAGCTCTTAACCCTTCAACACTGGGTATTTATACACACTTATGATATTATTTCAAAGTGGACACTGAGCAGAGGAGCCTGTGGTCAGATTGCGACAGCGGTCACACGACTCGAGCTGTTTTGCAATAAAAGAGCAGGGCTCTGCGGTGTCAACAGTCAACAGTCAACAAAAAGGACAAAGTCATTGTTACTTCTTCAAACATTAAATCTAGCTACAGAAGTCTGTCTACCAGTGGTGGTAAAGTACTAAGTAGCTTTACTCAAGTACTGTACTTAAGTACAATTTGAGGTACTTTACTTGAGTTTTTCAACATTTTGCTACTTTGTACTTCTACCTGACTACAATTCAGAGGTAAAACGTTTACTTTTACTCCACTACATTTATTTAATACATTTACAGATTTGGATCAACGATGAGAAATGTAATCAACTCTTAAATCAGACTTTAGCTCCACCTGGAGTAAATTCACAAGCTACCCTGCAGTATATAAAGTCATTAAAACTAGCTGCACCTTTACCAGCTTTCATAAACACATACAGTAAATACATCAATAATTATAATCAACATATAACATATTAGCCAATCTGCAAGATTATACATATTACTTTAAGTTTATTTAGATGCTAATACTTTTGTACTTTTACTTGGGAACATTACATTTTGATTGCAGGACTTTTAATCTGAACAGAGTATTCCTACACTCTGGTACTTCTACTTTTACTTAAAGTGGACCTATCATGCTATATTTAAAGTGGACCTATCATGCTATATTTAAATGATATATTGTAGGGCCATACCTATATAAGGTATATTTATACGTTTCTGTTTTCAAAATACCAAACAGATCATACATTTTAGCCATGCCTCATTTCACTCTATGTGCTGTTTGCTGTCTACGGGTCTGATTCTGCTGACCACGCCCCCCTGCAGGAGAGGGAGACGTGCTCTGATCAGCTGCTGGGCTGTCAGAAGAGGGGGAGAAAAAGAGATCTCCGTCCTCCGTGTTTTATTATATAGAGTCGTTATTCATTTGTTTTAAAGCTCAATAAATAACAAAGAAGACCTTTGACCGGCATTTTTCTAATTTTGTCCGGAAGATTTCAACTTTAACGGACATCTTGACCGGCGAAAGAAACTGAAACTGAAACTCTGCCGCACGGTCCCCTCGTTCCTTGGAAGAGACGGAGAGGTGGGTGTTTGTCATCTGCTGGTGGACTAACCGAAGAGAATTACAGTGCTTGCCTCGATGGGGAGGGATTGCATTGAATTAAAGCAGCGGGAGCAAACGCTTGCCTCGGGGAGGGAGAAAAAAAGCCACAGCGGAGAATAAACAGAAGGGTAACCATGGTAACTATGGGCGGGAAGTCTTCTTTGCTGCTTTTGTGGCAGACTACAGCACCACTTACAGGCCTGGCATATGTACTACAGCGTCTCCAGCGCTTTCGAGCGGCAATGGCCGGCCGTGGCCCAACCCCACATTCCCCTGATAGGTGGAGAGTTGGCCCAATAGCCGTAGCGCCACTTCTGTGACGACATAGAAGTGTTCAAATCTGGATCAGTCTGTATCAGATCCGTTGCAGCCCCTTTTTTAGAGATTTGGGTATGGAGGAAAATAGAGAGGGTTGTGTTTTCTGACACTTGGTGAGTTCCCTGGAACACCGGGGACACATATTCATGTATACAAGACGTACAAAAGTGCATTTTGCATGATAGGTCCCCTTTAAGTACAAGATCTGAGTACTTTTCCCACCTCTGTTGTCTACAAGAAACACAGTGACCTGGTTTCTCACAGCATTGTCAACAGTCTCATAACAGCAGCGCTAAAAATAACTCATCGTCCAAAACACACAAAGACTTCAGCTGTGATTATATTCTGTATATTGTATCATGACAGTAGTCAATACAGCCTCTAAAGAAGTTACCTGACACCTGGACTGCATGTGTTTTGTGGCTAAAGTTAACCACACAGCTACATGTTAGATTAAAGCTAAGCTAGCTAGTGAATAACACGTACCATCAACCACAGTTCACTTAGCTAGCACAACATATTGTTTATTTGTTGTTATTTATAATGTGAGAAACCACACTTTTATATTTCACATGGAGACCTGTCACCCTGTCGTAGACGTGTACACACGGTTAGCTAGCAGTACATAAAGTCATTACAATTAGTTTCACCTATACCAGCTTTAATAACACATCAATAAAACATGATTAAAGTAATAAAACATATAAAATAGTTTTGTGGAATGGGCATAATGGGAACTTGATGGTAATACTCTTGTACTTTTACTTTAGTAATAATTTGATTGCAGGACTTTACTTGTAACAGAGTATTTCCTACACTCTGGTACTTCTACTTTTACTTAAGCACAAGACCCGAGTACTTCTTCCACTTCTTGAGTATTCTGTATGATGTAAATTAATCATAACAGTAGTCACCACAGCCTTTAAAGAAGCTACATGACACCTTAACTTCATGTGTTTAGTGGCTAAAGTTAGCCATTTTGTTAGCTAAAGGCTAAGCTAGTGTCGTGAATAACACGCAACCACCGTAACTACAGTTAACTCAGCAAGCAAAACTCATTGTGTATTTGTAGTTATTTCTAATGTGAGAAAGCACACATGACTATTTCATATGGAGCCCTGTCTCCCGTGAGGAGCTAACAGTGAGCTAAGCTAACTTCAGCTAGCTTGACAGCACCAGGCCAGCGGCTCCTCTCTCTCTTCTCTCCCCGGCCCTGCCTCACTCTCCCCGGCCCTTTTCTTACGTGTTGTCCTGGTTGAAGTTGGCGAAGAGGAGCTGGCTTCCGCCTGCATCCCCGCTTTGACTGGCCAAGTTCATGGGCTCGGCACCATCCACATATAATGTTCCGGTAGAAACAGCAGCAGCAGTCTGGCTGGGATAAGAACTGTGATTAGGGCCAGACGGTTTCACGGAGCCATGTCTTTTTCTTGGCCCCTCCGTAGTGATTGTTGTTGTTTTTCACAGGGGCTGCTGCTGCCCCTCAATGCGCATGCGCCGATGACGCAGCGTGCAGTGCTTTTAAAGGGCCAGCAGGATTTTATTTTTAACAACTGCAGTCCTGATGATAAAATATACAATTATAAATATTATCAGAGGGAGAAGAACTAAGAGATTGTACTTAAGTCACTGTATAAATACCACAGTCTAGGAATACTCTGTTACGTAAGTAAGTAAGTAAAAGTCCTACAATGTTGCTTAAGTAAAAGTGGAAAAGTATTAGTATAAGTATTCAACCTGGGCTGCCACACCAGCAGCCACGGTGCTGCAACTGAGGCTAAACTTCCAGGTTGATGAGGGAGGGGTAAATGTTGTCAGATTGAGAAAAAAATTCAACAGGAGAGTTTTATTGACTAATACAATGCATTCTGGGGGTTGGAGCTTAGACTTTTCGACTTTCAATTTTAAGGACCACCCTTTTTCTTTATGTATGCATAAGTAAATGTTCATATATTTGCCTTTTACATTACATGTCACTTGTTAGACGCTTTTATCCAAAGCGACTAACATACTCAATATTGTGGGCAATCCCCACAGGAGCAATTTGGGGTGAAGTGTCTTGCCCAGGGACACAACGACATACTGACTGCAGTGGGGTTTCAACCTGTGACCCCCTGATCCGAACACCAACGCACAACCCACTGCACCACACGCCGCACGCCCCCAGATCAGATTGTATCAGATTTCATCTATCAGTTGCATATAACAGAGTTGAACATATTGTTACTAAAAAGTCAACAACTAGCATGTATATAAAGACATTAAATGCATTTATTTTAGCTTTTGTTGACTTAATAATATAAAACCCTTTAGGCCATTTACACTGTTTTTGATGAGTTACAAAACGTAATGTACAAAAGTCACTGAGACATAAAAGGAAACCGTTAGTAATAAATATGTTGACGGACTGATTTTGGGTGTTCCTCACAGTTTCTGTCTGCGGTCAAGTTTCAGGTGTAAGTCTGAGCATGTCAGTGTAATTGGGTTCGTGGGATAGAAAATATTCAATGAATAACATCATAAAGAGACGGAGACTCCGCAGCTCCTCCGGTGGGAGTCAGCTGCCACAAGTTTTCAAAGATATGAAAGAAAGCAAAAAGACATAAGGGTATTTGTACTTTACTTGTATATTTCCACATCACACAACTTTCTACTTCTACTCCACTGCATCTTGGAGAAAAAACATAGTAGCAAATATCAACACAAGTTATAAAGACAACAAATAAATTATGATTTAGTATAAATTGTATAGCTTGTTAAGATAATCTACCATTCATTATATTACATTAAAGTGAAGAACACAATTATATACCACTAATCAGAATTCAGTAAATCAGAATACTTTGTAATATTTATCCAGGGGAATTGGGTTCTGTGACAGTGGCTCCATTTATAAATGAAAATAATATATAAAGTATTTTTAGAAATATATGAGAATTAAAAAACAAACAAAAAAAACAGCAAAAAAACATTTGGAAGCTAAAGTAAAAATGTGCTATAATAGATTACCGGTATACTATATACAATGATGTATTATCATTAATAATGTATTGTTTATGTAAAATGTGTTATGTACAGCATACATTATTATCAATGTCCCAACGGTTCATTTTTATAAGGTCTCAAAAATGTAATGTTATGTATTTTTTTTTATTGCCTGCTACGCATTTTTTAGCCACACTATTTGTCTTTATTTTGATTGTATCAATAGTGTGGCTTTTCTTCTTTGTAATCATTGCTTGCCTCTTTCACCATGCTAGGCCACTTTTGCTGTAACCTTGTACATTTCCCCACTGTGGGACTACTAAAGGAATTGTGATTCTGAATATCATGCTGATTTGTGCGTGATGGATTTGGAAGACTTAGAATGCAGGAATAGTGATGAAGAGGTTTTTTGTTTGCTCCTGTGCGCTGTGCCCTTGGTCCAGTGAGTGTTCTTCAGCCGGCAGAGCTCCAACACACTGTGTACCGGCTGCAGTTTACACAGGCACATAGCTTTCAAATAAACATGATAAACACACAGACACAGAGGCGGGGTTTAAAGCAACGCTGCATGCACAGTTTACAGATACAAAATAATTTGGTAAGATGATGATAATGAAACATGGTTATCAGATTCAGAATAATTTATATTCTCAGTGTAGATTAAGACAAAAAAAAAGAGTGGATTAACATATAAAATAAAGAGGCAACACATCATTAGTACAATTATTTTATTAAAACATTCCCTGTGTTCCCTCCAGAGGGAGTTTCTCTCCCACACCTCCCCCCTGCCTGAAACGCATCCACTGGACTCCATTGTTTACTTCCTGAACAAACTGACATCACTACGTAACACTTACGCTTCTATTGGCTAGCGCTCTAACACATGGTACAGTATGTGATTTTCTATGGGGCGGGACTTCTCTAGGCGGTTGACCAATCACAACAGAGACGGCCAGCTAACCAATCAGAGCAGAACTGGGCTCTGTTTTCAGAGCAAGAGGGTGAAAAGAGGTGCTGCAGCACAGGCAGTATGAGAAAAATAAAGAGCCTTTTTGAACATTAAAGCATGAGACATGTCACAGTAGAGACCACTACATACTGATATACACCTGAACATCAGCAGGAGAGGACTCTTAAAGTAGAGACACTACATACTGATATACACCTGAACATCAGCAGGAGAGGACTCTTTAAAGTAGAGACACTAACATACTGATATACACTGCTGACATCAGCAGGAGAGGGACTCTTTAAAGTAGAGACACTACCATACTGATATACACCTGAACATCAGCAGGAGAGGACTCTTTTAAAGTAGAGACACTACATTACTGATATACACCTGAACATCAGCAGGAGAGGACTCTTTAAAGTAGAGACACTACATACTGATATACACCCTGGACATCAGCAGAGAGGACTCTTTAAAGTAAGACACTACATACTGATATACACCTGAACATCAGCAGGAGAGGACTCTTTAAAGTAGAGGACACAACATACTGATATACACCTGAAGATCAGCAGGAGAGGACTCTTTAAGTAGAGACACTACATACTGATATACAACCTGAACATCAGCAGGAGAGGACCTTTAAAGTAAGAGACACTACATACTGATATACACCTGAACATCAGCAGGAGAGGACTCTTTAAAGTATAGACACTACATACTGATATGAACCTGAAGTGAGCATAATAGGAAAACCTGCCAGATGAGAAACAGAACAATTCAGGGAATGAGGCCCCGGACTCTAAGATAGTACCATGTATAGATAAAGGGAAATAGGAGAAGAGAATTGAAAGCTGGAAAGTCCGAACAACCAGAGACCCTAAGGAGCATAAATAGGGACTGGTTTAAGGGTATATTAATCTGAGATACTGAACTGAAGATTAAAATGCTTGTGTGGAGCTCTAATTTTGGCCCAAACCTGGACTTCTGACCTCCAACATGTTGTTAATCTACTATGAAGTAAGTCTACGTCTCTTAAGAGGTTTGAATGTATTTCCTGCAAAGGAAATACATTTTATTCGCATATTGGTCGGGAATAGCTAATACTAATATACTCCTCTGGCCTCCTTTCATCCATATCTTTATCTCTAAACACAGCCAGGGGTGAATGTGTAACATGTTTCTGTTTAAAGCATGAAAACTTGTTTGGATTTGTGTGTGTGGTGTGGTGTGGTGTGTGTGTGTGTGTGTGTGTGTGTTTGTGTTTGCACAATGTGTCTGTTCTGCCTCACACAGCTGCTGCACAGTGCCACAAAGGGCCTCTGCTGTTATTGTTGGGTAACATTTAATTTTCCATTCGGTTTGAGCGTGACCATGTCGTGTGAAGGGCAGCATGAGAGGATCTGCAAAATGAAAATTAATAAGAATAGAAAGAGCATGATTACTTTTTCTTTACGAGGAGATACATGTACTATAGAGCAATAAACTGCAACAAAGATGGACCGTATAACTTAGTTGAAATACAAGTAAATTGCATTTTTACCTCGACACTGATGCTTTTTTCGTATTAAATCATTATTTAAAGCTCCGCTATTGATATATTTTGGTTTGAAAACACACAAATTCAAGTGCAATTGCCAGACCTTTTAAAAATATTTCCAGAAAATAAAGTTTGTTCGAAGATAATTTACATTATTCAAGAGAAAACACATACTTTGAGGGGATTTGATATGATGATTCACATGTTTTTTATAGTCAAAATTATTTTAGCTCAATACATAAATAAATAGATGTCTCCTTATGTTTATTCCTTACCTGAATCAAAATGTTTACTATCGAGCTGCCCTGCCTTAATTTGGCAGAAAATATAATTTAACACAGTTAACTGATTAATACAATTTAAACATTATTTAAAAAAAAATCGTTTGTTCAGGGGGTTAGGAGGTGCGTTTGGGGAACCTAGGATTTTCAAAACCTTTTCCAGACTATAGCTGACTGACTCTGTTGCATGCCTCAATGTGTGTTTAAAGTGTTTTCTCACCCTTTTTAGGCTACATGTAGAAAATAGGCTAAAAAATAATAACTTTTTAAACATTTATCATAATAAAATGGTCAGGGTTTGTTATCACGTGGATGTTTTTCCGGCCGTTCAACAACAATTAACCAGTAGTGGAAAATGAAAGTGAGGCAGGATATAGTGTGTGCGTGTGTATGTTGCGTGTATGTTGCGTAGCGTGTGTGTGTGTGCGTGTGTGTGTGTGTGTGCGTGTGTGTGTGTGTGTCTGAATAGGGGAAAGGGGAGGAGAGGGGAGGAGGGGTTACAAACCCAGTCCCGCGGAACATCCTGCAAACACATCTGAGTCTCGTAACAAAACTCTGCACAGTTTCCCGTAACACACAGACACATTCCCACACTCTCTCTCCCCCACACACACGCTCTCTCAAACACACACGCTGCTACAATCTCCGTGCTCTCGCCCGCATGTCTCGCCTCTCGACCCCCGGAGAAGTCTCGCCATAAGGTGAAGTTGTTGTCGGTAGTTTCGATGCCGGACCTCAGTGTTTATGTTCCGTCTCCTCGCAGCGGTGGGACATCCGGAATGGGGGATCCGCTGTGCTGTTTGTAAATAGAGCAGTCTGCGCACAAATGGACTTTAAGAAGACGAAACTCGGACGGTAAGTTATTTTGTATTATCTTAACAAAGTTTGAGGTTTAGTTTGGCTGCAGCATATTGTCCCTGTGTGGCTCATCCTGTGCATCCATGCGCACTGACGCGCTGGCACAGGGTCAATCACAGGGATGTTATAGATTAGTGTGTGTGTGTGTGTGTGTGTGTGTGTGTGTGTGTGTGTGTGTGTGTGTGTGTGTGTGTGTGTGTGTGTGTGTGGTTGTGTGTGTTGTGTGTGTGTGTGTGTGTGTGTGTGTGTGTGTGTGTGTGTGTGGTGTGTGTGTGTGTGTGTGTGTGTGTGTGTGTGTGTGTGTGTGAGAAAGAGAAAAAAAGTAACAAGCATGGAGACCATTACTTGTATTAGGGCTTGAACAAACGATTTTTTTATGGATTAATCTGTGCACATTTTTTTGGATCAATCAATGAAAGTGTATTACTTTAATAATGTAATATGTCCATTCAAGACCTGCACAATATGGGGCAATAATGTAACATTTGTGATAAATAAACGATACAAATATATACTACACTAAGCTATCAAAGTGCACTAAGATCTGCCTTTCTGCTGTTTGTTTAAGGAGTAGTTTCCTAAAAAATACTCTGTCAGCTAACTAAAAACATCTCCAAGTTTAATATCACAGTCTTGTATTATGTGGTATTTCACTCTGGCAAACATCGCAATGACGACTACACAATAAATTGTGCAGCTCTAAAGGAGATTACTTCAAATGTCTTGTTTACTGTCAACTTTGACAGTCTAAAACACAAAGACATTAAGTTTATATATTAAACAGAGAAAATCAGGGAATCTTAATATGTGAGAGAAAGAATAAAAAATAATTCTATCAAATCTGTATAGAATTGAATCAACACTGCATCAACCAACCACTCTCCCCCAGAGTCCTGGCATAGACCCTATACGACATGGTATGGAAAAGGGAAGACAATAAATACATACATTGAGGATAATAAAATAGAAATTAAGCACATAAGCAATGGACAAGTCTAAGTGTGTAATGCTTCTTATTTCTTTTAAATCAAACAAAGTCTCTATCTGCTTTGATGTATGTCCAGAAACGTTCCCAAGGCGTATCCTCATCATTTTCATTGCATTGACCCTTCCCTTCATATCTGTAGACTTGTTTATTGTCCAATGTCTGAAGATAATTCTGGACACTGTTATCAAACCAACCATGAGACGAGATACTCTGCCAGTTTTTAAACAAAATCGAGAATCAAAATGGTTGAATTATAACTGTCGATGAACATTGTACCTAGCTTTTATTACAATTTAAAAAAGTATACAAACATGCCAAATGGGATAAAAGATCCCTTTTTAACAATTTGATTTGCATTTTTACCCTCAGAATCACTGCATATTTGCACTAAAGATTCTCCATCTGTCTTCTAATCCATCTCTATGCTGTCCAGGTTCCTCTGTTGGCTTTAGTTCAGAGGTAGTTCATTTTCAGTATCATCTGCAGCTGCATTTCACTGAGTATTACATCACACACACACACACACACACACACACACACACACACACACACACACACACACACACACACACACACACACACACACACACACACACACACACACAGAATATCACGTTGAATTCTGCTTGGGTGCTTTCATCAGTCATTACCCTCTATGTGTGTGTGTGTGTCTGTATGTACATGTGTGTCTGTGTGGGAGATGGCGATAATCGTGAGAACCAGAGTTTGAGTCCCAGAGGAGAAGAACTTGATCTTTACTGTAAAAGGAATAGCCCTGGAGTTAGATAGAACACACACACACACACACACACACACACACACACACACACACACACACACACACACACACACACACACACACACACACACACATTCCTACAGCGTACACAAGTCCACCTTGATCCAAAATGTTCTGATCCTCTTAGATGCAACCGATCCTATTAATGTATGGAATGTGCTATAATGGGCTTTAACACCACATAAAACACTCATTAGTGAGCTGAAAACACGTCACTCACACACAGAGGAACAATACATATCGAAGCATATGACACACACGTGTTGAAAGGAAGAAAAAGTGTGAAATAAATCTGATTATAACATGAAAAAGAGAAGAAATAGTGTGCTGATGATCAGGACAACAATGCCCTCTCTGATCAGAGCCTGTGAATCCCTATCCTGTCCTTTTGGTACATTACACACACATCACACACACACCACACACACACACACACACACACACACACACACACACACACACACACACACACACACACACACACACACACACACACACACACACACACAGTTCTGTCATAAGCTATTAGAGGACATCAGAGTGGTGCATTCAGGTCCATTGATATCCTCACAATACCACAACAGTGCTCAGAAAAATACTTTTTATGCACTTGGCACGGCCTGTAAGACTGCAGGGAAACCAAAGATACAGAAGCCACACAAACATCTAATGTTACTCAATGTTGTTTATTCTATTACTGAAAATGATAGAGCATGTCACATACATTTTATTTAAGGATTTTATATTGCAGTAGGGATAATGCATCTGAGCAGGAGTTTAATTAAGATGATAAAGAGTGTATAAAAGTGAAATAAAGTGATATGACGTCTATTCAAAGCAGAAAAGTGTGTGTGTGTGTGAGAGCAGAGTGTGTGTATGTTTGTGCATTAAAAGCCTAACCCTGATGCCTGGTACCACCAATGTGACCTACAACAGAAAAACACAGATATTCTTGTTATGAGGGTTATGGTGGTGAGTGCAAAAACACACACAAACAAACACACACACACACACACACACACACACACACACACAAAATGTAATAATAAGATGGTAAAGTGGGTGTGACGGTATCAACATGTATCAACAATGAAATGCATTGATACCAATAAAAACATTTCTCTGGGTTCCCACACTTTTGGAAACATTTGGGTTACACAATCAACTAAATATATAACAACGGTCTAGTGGTTTTATAAATATCTAGGCAGAGATGTAACATGCATTTTAAATTCAGTTTTTAGCTTATCTTATTCTATTCAACATGTATATAGTTGACTTCTTCTGCCTTTACTTGCACATTGGTCACTTGAAACATTCGCTATTTTGTTTCCATTCTGTTTCATCTTGCATTTTTTTAATTGTTTTATGTCTTATATATATTTTTGTTGGACTGTAGGAGGAGTCTGGGATTTTCATTGCTAAAACTACACTGTAGCTTCTGTGCATATGACGATAAAACCTTTGAATCTTGAATCTATTATTCTGTGTAACTCTCTGATTCACTTTCTCCTCAATGTGAAGAATTAATAGACCACGACAAACAGCTATGGGACATATATATATATATGTGTGTGTGTGTGTGTGTGTGTGTGTGTGTGTGTGTGTGTGTGTGTGTGTGTGTGTGTGTGTGTGTGTGTGTGTGTGTGTGTGTGTGTGTGTGTGTGTGTGTGTGTGTGTGTGTGTGTGTGTGTGTGTGTGTGTGTGTGTGTGTGTGTGTGTGTGTGTGTGTGTGTGTGTTCTGGTAAATGATGCGTGATGTCAGTTTGTGTGTTGATGAGGCGTCTGCCAAAATGTGTAATCAAATAACACAGCTGACCGACGCAGACACACCTGTGGCCCTGCATGAGAGCCTACATTCAAATGAGTGTGTGTGAGCGTGTGTTTGTGTGTGTGTGTGTGTGTGTGTGCATCTTGTCGTATAAAATGTGGTTTCGTAACATCTCCAGATGTGTTTTTTTCCCTGTAAGCCGGGATTGAGAGATTTACTGATGATTAAAGAGCCTACAGAACACACACAGACACACAGACACACGCACACACATGCGTGCTCGCAGGAAGTAACTTTGTTAGTAGTATACAAATAAAATGCAAATAAAGTTAATGGTTAGCGGTTTCCTGTTGTACTAGTACAGGCAGTGACATCACTAAGTTGCGACCATGGCAACGCGTAATAAAATTCAGACAACGTGATGTGGATTAGAGACCTGCAAATCCTCCAAGAATGACCATCACACACACACACACACACACACACACACACACACACACACACACACACACACACACACACACACCAAATGCAAGTTGGAATCTATTCATCACGTGCTTGGTGGAATATTTTAATAATTTTAAGTGAATCGGAATCACTGAGACACACATTATTTGTAATTTTTGGAAAAAGCCTTTGAGGCATTAATTTGATGGAGCATAACAAGTCCTTAATCTCAAACCTGCAAAAGTAGATGATTGTTCACTGTGGGAACTCTAACTGGACTTGTTATGATGAAACCAACTCCTTAATAAAGTACTGAAAAACAACCCTTAAAACTCAAACCTAAAGTCAATTGGGATACAGTGAACAGAAAGGCATCACTTCCACTGAAACGTTCTGATACTTACAGATAACACAACAATACAAGAACATGGATTTCTGAAATATATTGTTAATAGTTAAAGATTTCAATTTCTCTCCCCCCTTTCCCTCTCTCTCACTCTGCCTCCCCCTCCTCACCTCTCTCTCAGGTTCATGAACTGCAGGGCCCCGGCTAGTAAGAGATACCAGCCCACTGAGTACGAGCACGCTGCAAACTGTGCCACACATGGGGTGAGCTGAAAACAAATACAAACAAACAGAAACAAACTTTTACAGTAAACTGTCTTCTTCAGTTTTTACGCTTTACTCTCTTTCTCATTCTTACTCCACCTTCAGCAGCTGAAACACTATTTTACTTTGCCATACAGCATGAATATAGTTGTAATACTAATAAGCCACTGCAAATATTGAAGTTACATTATTTATTTAATCTTTCCATATTATTAATGTTTTACTATGGCACAGATTTTTACTTAATATAAATATTGTAATTTAATGTTTTTTTACAACACATTTCTTACTTTAACTTCTTGTATTTGATATAAATATTGCTATTTTGTTTAATTTTTTTTATTGCAAATGTGTAATGTTGCTTTTTAGGTTCATATAAATATTTGATTAGATATTTTTTGCACATTTTTACTTTAACTTCTGATGTTTATCCACAAATAGTTTTACTCTATTTTATTTTATTTATCCTTATTTTGCACATTATTCCTTAATTTCTTTATTAATTAATTCTATTTTATTTTTTATTTTTTTACTTTGACTTTAACTTAATTTAAAAACCTTTTATCTTACTTTTAAAAAGATCAAATGTCACGAAACCCAATTTCCCCTTAGAATAAATTGTGGCGGTGTGTGGCGCAGTGGGTTGTGCGTATTTGTTCGGATCAGGGGGTCACAGGTTCAAACCCCACTGCAGTCAGCATGTCGTTGTGTCCCTGGGCAAGACACTTCACCCCAAATTGCTCCTGTGGGGATTGGCCACAGTATTGAGTATGTAAGTCACTTTGGATAAAAGCGTCTAACAAGTAACATGTAATGTAATGCATTGTAATGCATTCAGATCAGTTTCTGGCATCTCCCTGTCCCGTTGCTCTCTCTCTTTCGTGAGTGTTTGAGTTCAGAGAAGCCTTTTAAAAGATGGAAGGGATTGCGAGGAATAATGCAGGAATACAGAGGATTTGAGGCCGTGCCATAGAGGCTATAATCTGTGATTCAGCCTGTAGTTTCCTCTAATCTGCTGTAATCCCTGTACGCTTCCGCCTCGGACAGAACAAGACAGACGGAGTGAATGAAACAGACGGAGAGACATGAAAGAAAGCAGAGAGGAAACATGGCTGTAATGACTCTTAAGCCTTAAATGGCCCAGGGTTTTCTGATGCTTCATCCATTCATTCCTTTAGCGAGTCACAGTTCAATTCAGCGCAGTGTTTCCCATTAACAACAAGAATCATGATCAACGTTTTGTGAGATACAGAATCAGAATAGTTTGATATCTTTTGCTTTATGGCCAAGATTAGAAGTTTGATATCATGTAACAGCTGCATACCTGCCAACCCTACTGATTTGGGCGGTAGTTTACCGCTTTTGACATGTTTCTACCGCCTACCGATTTAGCTGGCTTTCCCTACCGATTTTCAATCTTCCCAAACTATAACAAATAAAAATGACACTCCATAGACACTGGACTCGACTTTTGGCGTGTCTGTGATCCCATCATACTAACAGTCCTCTGTGTTTCTGAAAGAGAAACAACGTGCAGAGGAAGGGCAGCGTTACCCCATGGGGCTGATGGGTAATCACTCCCAAATTAGTTAGGGGAACAGAGGCCGTTTCTCAATCGCGAGGATATTGGCTTCCAAGCCAATATTTCAAGGATGCTACGTCATCAAGTGGCGCAGCAGGACCGTTCCAATGTCCAGGCGTCCTTGGTTTGGGGGAAATTTCGAGGCTGCACATGGGTAGACTTCGCGTCCTTAAAATCCCCACAATGCTTTGCGCACGGACCAATTTCCCCAAATCTGTGGCGGAAAATGTAAGGCGGGGCCTCTCATATGACGCACACCTGCACACTTGCTCGCCTGTTCCATTCTTCGTTTTCCAAGGCTTGGAAGCATACTTGCTTCGTTTCTGAAGGAAGTGACTTGGAAGTACGCGACTACCAAGCCAGCATCCTCGCGATTGAGAAACGGCCAGAGACTAGGCATTTGAGTCATGCAGGGTTTCCCCGTTAATATCAGTGTCTCGAAAACACATGTTGGCGACTGAAAGACATCCAGTGTTTGGTCTTTTCCTGAAGCATCCTTCACCTACAGTGTCTCAACTGAAAGAGGACCACAAACACACAAAAAATACAATACAATTTTGGGATATTTATCTCCCATTCTTTCATTTTTTCGGACATTTTCAACACCAAACATGTCATTAATGTCTCTGTTTAGTGAACTACAGCAATCTGAAAGCCTGTACATTATTTATATCACACTTTATCAGTAGAGAAAGGCAGGAAATGACTTTTTTAATGCAGTATTCTCTGATTTATGGCGCAACACAAAGATATTTCGCTCTGTGAAAACCTTTGACTCTAATATGTCAACAACATGAAACAAGAATATGAACCTGGCCTTATCCAATGTTCACACAAGAGTTCTACATCCTGACACATCCTTCATCTACACTGTCTCAACTGAAAGAGGACCAGAAACACATTAAAAATATAATAAAATGTGGAGACTTTGGGATATTTATCTCCCATTCTTTTACTTTTCGGGAATTTTACGGACCAAACATGTCGTTGATGTCACTGTTTACCAAACTACCACTTTTTCTGAAAAATGCATAAAATGATGCAATATATGTTAAATACATGGTTTATACATGTAATTACTGGGGTTCCATTTCTTCTGATTAGCTAATTTGGGCGTGCACATTTGCCGCGCGCAATCCTACCTCTTTTGGATTTGGAAAGGTTGGCATGTATGCAGCTGGTTAGCTTAGCGTAGAGACAGGAAATGAGGAAAAAGATGGCCTGGTTCTTTCCAACATTAACAAAATCACCTTACTTACATGTATCCAAACAAATTGACCATCTTTTATCCATTAAACATACAAGATAACATGTCAATTGGCAGGATTTAGAGATGTTGGTAGGTGGAATTTGATAGCGTTGGTCAGAGCCAGGCTAGATGTTTCCAGTTCTGCGAGGCTTAACCAACCGATTGCTAGTTGTTGCAGCTTCAAAGTTATGCCCATATTTCCGTGCATGGTACAATGGCAAAACTCTAATAGGCTACGTTTTTGTTCCAGGCCTTTTTTCATTATTATGTTTCCACTGCAGAAAGTTCTGCCTCAGTGTAGGCGCGATTCTCAGCTAATAACGCTAGCAATGCTTTGACATCATCTCCAACTCGACAACTCTGAATAAGCAACCAAACAGAGGAACGTCTGCTCTTTGTCTATCGTACGGTTTAGTTTGCCTTTTGAATTTTTTTTATCTGGGTCGAAATAATAACAATTTGCGGATAATATTAAAAGTAGTTTGGCTGTTTTAAAAGACAAAGTTATTCAGAGAGAGAAGTCATGTTAACAATATCAGGGACACATTCTAGGCCAAATGCAGTATAATCTCCCAAGAAGAAACTAAAACTAGACAAACTAAACTACCTTGTCACATTCCTGTTGGTTTTAATATCAACATTTAATATATTTATTTCTAATACAACTTTGAGAAATCATAACATTAAAAAAAAGTTTCATACAATATGTAAAAATCATTGTGTGTATCATGAGAAACTTTATATTTTCTATCTTTTCTAGTTGTGGATCATCCCCAGTCTGGTGGGCGGGTCTATGCTCTACTTCCTGTCTCTGGACCAATGGCATCGCGTGGCTGCCTGGCTCTACGGCAGCGGTCTCACCGGCCTGTTTCTCACCTCAACGCTCTTCCACACCGCTGCCTGGAAAATCAGCCACCTCCGGTATGTGTGTGTGTATGTGTGTGTGTGTGTAGAAGGGAGTTGCTGTTAGGGATTTGGCAGCTGTGCATATGTGTGTTTTCATGTGCTGCACACTCAGACATTCAGTCTGTTAATTATGACAGAGCCAGAAGGCCAGAGAGAAAACAACAGATGCGCCGTGGTAATGAAAATATTTCACATCACGTTCAACTAACACCCTTTAAATAGCATTCGCTTAACTATTAATAGCCAAACACACTCTCACATAGAAACACACTCTTCTAAGTTTTAACACTTTGAATTCCCACATTAAATATATATATACATCTCAGAACGCCATGTTCTTGAAATGTTGCCTATAATTATGTTTATTCTCTCCTGGGTCTAATAAAAAAGTCAGCAACTCAGTTGAGGTGATGCCTTCTTGTTCGCTGTATCCCAATCTATGTTATGTTCGAGGTTGATTAATGAGGTTGATTCTCAATTGATTTGGACTGTATGTACTTTATCAAGTATAGTTACTTAAATCTATCTTACCTCTGCCAATGAGCTTTTTTCGTCTGTGCTTACTAAGATTTTATCAACATGTTTGACTGTGTGTGTGTGTGTGTGTGTGTGTGTGTGTGTGTGTGTGTGTGTGTGTGTGTGTGTGTGTGTGTGTGTGTGTGTGTGTGTGTGTGTGTGTGTGTGTGTGTGTGTGTGTGTGTGTGTGTGATGTGTGTGTGTGTGTGTGTGTGTGTGTGTGTGTGTGTGTGTGTGTGTGTGTGTGTGTGTGTGTGTGTGTGTGTGTGTGTGTGTGTGTGTGTGTGTGTGTGTGTGTGTGTGTGTGTGTGTGTGTTGTGTGTGTGTGTGTGTGTGTGTGTGTGTGTGTGTGTGTGTGTGTGTGTGTGTGTGTGTGTGTGTGATGTACCGAACCGACAGGATATGGATTCACAGGCTCTGATCAGAGAGGGCATTGTTGTCTTCATAATCAGCACACTATTTCCTCTCCTTTTCATGTTATAATCAGATTTTTCTCCCACATTTCTTCCTTTCAACACGTGTGTGTCATGTGCTTCGATATGTATTGTTCTCTTGTGTGTGTGAGTGGCATATTTTCAGCTCACAAAAGAGTGTTTTATGTGGTGTTAAAGCCCATTATAGCACATTCCATACATTAATAGGATCGGTTGCATCTAAGAGGATCAGAACCTTTAGGATCACGGTGGACTTGTGTACGCTGTAAGAATGTGTGTGTGTGTGTGTGTGTTTTCCCAACAACCGAATTTGCCTTCTAAAATGTGAGATCTGCCATGTACTGAGATAAACGTCAGTATTCTGTAAACCTTTAAAGTAATTAAATTATTTGTAATGACATATTAGTAATAAATTAGAGCTCTTATTTTCCTTTTCTTTGTCTGTGTGTAGGACTGTGGAGCAGCGTTTCCACATGTGTGACAGAATGGCCATCTACTTCTTCATCGCTGCCTCATACTCTCCATGGTGAGTCAATACTGAATATGCAGTCCTGTGGATAAAATAACGTGTTAAAGGGGCCATATTATGCTAATTATCAGGTTCCATATTTATATTTTCTGCCTCTGTGACATGTCTCCATGCTTTAATGTTCAAAAAGCTCTTTATTTTTCTCATACTGCCTGTGCTGCAGCACCTCTTTTCACCCTCTGTCTGAAACCAGAGCCCCTTAGCCCATCACATACAATGTGTTAGAGCCTACAGTCTATGGTTAGAGCGCTAGCAAACAGAGGCGTGAGTGTTACAAAGTGATGTCACTGTGTTAGGGAAGTAAACAAAGGAGTCCAATGGAGGCGTTTCAGGCAGGACACTTTGGGATTCTAGCCTTTGCAGACCTTTTACTTGCACAAACACCTATACAACACTCTACAGCAGGGGTGTCCAAACTACGACCCGGGGGCCAAATGCGGCCCGCGAGCCATTTTGAATCGGCCCTCAGCAAATTCTAAAAGTATAATGAAATATGGCCCACAAAGAAACTTGTGCTTGTCTTGTACTTCTTAAATATAGATGAAAACACATATTACACAGTAGTATTCATGTGTTGAAGCCCACTTCAAATACATTCAGTCAGTTAAAGCTGAAAACAAATGTTAGTTGATAAAGAAAAAGCCCAATAACTTATTTACATAACAAGCTTGAAATAAACTCTTCATATTATTTCCTCTTATTATACAGTAAGCAATCTGAGGCTTCTGTTTTAAGGAATGAGCTGCTAACACAATAAATGAAACCCAACGGAGAGCAGTGATGTAGGCTGTTGTTTTTTTTTTTTAAAGCAAATTCAAGTATTAAGCATAATTGACCTACATTTGATTGATTTTTCTAACTTAACTTATAAGGCAATATACCTCGTCTCTAGTGAGCGGCCCAGCCCTTCGTATGTTTTTCTGTATGTGAAAAAAGTGTGGACACCCCTGCTCTACAGGAAAGGGAGAACCCCAAAAAAGCACGATAGAGCCCCTTTACGAAGCATAAATATTGAATGAAGTGCTGTGTCTCCGCAGGTTGATGCTGAGGGAGCTCGGGCCCTGGGTGTGCCACATGCGCTGGCTCATTTGGGTCATGGCTTGCGTCGGATCCATGTATGTCTTCCTTTTCCACGAGAGGTAATACACTCCGTCTCTCTGCTCTCCTTCGTCACCGTTTGACACAATTAACCTGAAACCAAACTCCCGTCCTCGAGTGTTTACAGGAAACACCGGGCAGCTGTTTGAAGCAGAAACAATTACATAGAAGATGTGAGGAGGTGTGGTATTTGTTTTAATGTCCTCTGTTGTTGTTTTTACCTGCAGGTACAAGCTGATAGAGCTGTTGGGATATATGTCCATGGGGGTGGTTCCTGCGTTGGTCATCCTATCCATGGTGAGCATCAAGGTTTAAACGTGGTCTTTCTTCCGCTTTTAAGGGAATAAACAAGCTTTATTCAGTGAGCCCTCTTCCGCTGCTTCAGGCTTCCTGCTATTGTTTGGGAATCGGACACTGAACATGTGTTGTTTTTGCCCATAACCTACCACTCTAGTTACTGTAACATAACAATTTTTTCTTAAATGACTTAGTGTCAGGTATAAGGTTGTATAACATTGTAATTTATTCATAAATTAAGCACTTATAATACCAGTAAGTGCAGTTCAAAGTGCTTCAACGATGACTGACAAGCCGTAATTTAAGACAGAAGAAGAAAAGAAAAAACAAACTGTTCAACAATTTGAGACCAAGAAAATAAAACGATAAAAATGTAATAGTAATGGTTGTTGAACAGCAATACAAAATTAAATGACAACACTATAAAATACAATGTTACAAATGAAATACAGCAAAAATAGAAAATAAATGTAAATAATATCTATTAACCGTCTTTTATTAAAAGCCTGGCTAGCTATGTTTTAGGTTTATATATTTTTTAAAGATTTGAAGCCATAAATAACTTTTAAAGTAACTATCAAAACTCAGCAAATACAATGGCGGCTTCAAAAAACTTTTCAGAGTTTTACGGGGCGTGGTTTGCAATTCGCCCAGCCAATCAGAAATTGGTACTTTTTTCTCCCCAGGATAGTACCACCTCTCTAGCAGGCACTACAAATGGGGGTAAAAGTTATCTGAACTAAGTTCTCTTTTTGGTGTGAACGCAAAATTCCAGGCACTATCGGAACTAAACGGGAAAAGTACGGGTAAAAGTACTCCGGTGTGAAAGCGCATATTGTATTTATTTGGGGTACAAACATCAACTGTTAGAACCCCCTTTTTATACTTGGTTAGATTTTTTTGATTATTACTATTATACTTTTTCATTTGGTCTTTGCTCTACCAACTCTTCACTTATAGCCTACGACTTCACTTTTGTCTTCTGTTCCAGGGTGAGCGTTCAGGTGTGTGTGAGCTCGCAGTGGGAGGCGTCTTTTACACGGTGGGCGTGATCTTCTTCAAGAGCGACGGACTCGTCCCCTTCGCTCACGCCATCTGGCATCTCTTTGTCGCTGCTGGAGCCTGCGTTCATTACTACGCCATCTGGAGGTACCTGTACTTACCGGGGCCGCCGCTGAAGACCTCCAGGTGACTGGCTGCTCTATGAGGTCAGCTGATCTGCATCATGTGACTAACTGGGAAAAACAGGACATTTTATCCATGGGAACATTGTGTTTTGACTCATGAAGAAAACAAATGGTGCTGAGGTGATCTGATCAGATGAAACTCTCCACAGTTGGGGGCCAAAGACTCGGGACCAAACACTAAAAGACATTTCTACTCGGGCTGAGCGATATGGAGAAAATCAAATATCACAAAATGTCTGATCAAATTCCGTGATATTGATATTCGTACGATATTGTAGGGTTAACTATTGGTGATTTCACAAAATACAAGTTGTCGATAAATCCCTTTTACTAGTGTTGATGTAATGCCTTAGTGGTTAAAGGCAGAACAATCAGAAACTTCAGAGATTCAAATCAAATCAAATCAAGTTTTATTTATATAGCACATTTTTAAACGATTTTTGGTCGAGCCAAAGTGCTGTACATATAATAAAAATACCCTACAGTAAAGACACTTTACAGCAAATACAAACAGCACAGTTTGTTCAGAATATCAGTATGAGATAAACGACACCCTCTGTCCTTAGACCCTCACATCGTACAAGGAAAAACTTCCAGAGAAAAAACCCACATTTCAGAGGGAAAAATGGGAGAAACCTCGGGGAGAGCAACAGAGGACGGACAGACGTGCAATAGATGCCGTGTGTAAGAGATAATACATTTTACAGCGTAGGTAGACCGAATGTTTGGAAATGCATGTGTCTATAATAGGATAGAATAGATTGACATCGCTTCTCTGTAATGAGGAGGCGTGTGGCGCAGTGTGTTAGTGCGTTGGTGATTGGATCAGGGGATCACAGGTTCAAACCCCACTGCAGTCAGCATGTCGTTGTGTCCCTGGGCAAGACACTTCATCCCAAATAGCTCCTGTGGGGATACTGTCCACAGTATTGAGTATGTAACTCGCTTTGGATAAAAGCCTCTAACAAGTAACATGTAATGAAATGCAGCCTTTAAAACCAGAAAAGACAACACTAACAATAATACGATATGCAAAATCTAAGACATTACATAGTCTTATATCACATTGATATACTGCCCAGCCCTGATTTCAACACGCTAATTATTAAACTGACTGATCAGTCAACATTTTTTCTGAATGGACCAAACTTATAGTTTAATTCTGCTGTATTCTGCTGCTCGGTATGAATGGTCCTTTTCGTTCATCAACTCATGGGAGATATTTATAATGTGCCAGAAAGTTTATATGACCAAAAGTTCAGCATATGGAATAGTTTGAAAATATACTTATATTCACTTTCTTTCCGAGAGTTAGAAGATGATACCACTCTCATGCTAAATATGTTGCTACTTCTAGCGGCTAGTTAGCCGAGCTTACAGCATAGAGACTGGAAACAAGGGGAAACAGCTAGCCAATGAGCAATTGTAATAAAAAACCGATTGCCAAGTTTGAACTAAATTTAGTAGAAAGAAAACTCAGCTATTCTATGACATTAAAGTGGTACATTTATAGAATTATTTTTGAAAATAAAGTCGTAAATTTGCCTTTTACTGTAGATTTGAGTGTGGAATAAACGTTCCTATCTAATTCTCTGCACCTAATAAGCAAATTAGCATATACAATGTCAAACTATTACCTCTGACAGAACTGATGGCACATGCTAAACTATGCTAGGCTAGTAAACTCCACTCTTTCAAACATTCCAACAGTGAAGTGCCAAAATGTACCTCTTACATTCCTTCATAAAGGTGCTAAACACTTACTTTACATTATTTTTGCCCATTTTGCACAGCGGCAAAACATTTAAATATAGATTTGGGACTAGGACGACACACATTGTTGTCCAATTAGCATAACGTTAGCTTAGCATAACATCAGTTTAACTTCGAGCCAGAATGTTATCCATTTCAGGAGATGGAGTAGTATAGTGTAAACATTGATTCTGATATTTGTTAAAAGGTTAGGTTGACTTTGACTGCCGAACTGTCAAACTAAAGGCCGTCATATATTAGCTTGGTCACACTGACATGACTGTTGTTGACCCTCTTTCATTCCAGATAAAGGTTGACTAACAGGCTTTAGTAGAACTGGTCCGATTGTGATTCTGTTTAGTTCTGCATAGAAAATAAATTCCCCTACTTTACTGTATTGTGGTTTTTAAAATATGATGAATCTAAAGCTAATGTAACACTAACCTTGTTCAGGGTTCATACACTTTTTCACCAATGATTTTCCATGACTTCTCCATGACCTTTACCTAATTTTCCATGACCAAAAAAATTACTCTTTCTCAGCGGTACCACTGAAAATGGTTTATTTTAACATGGATCAGGAAAATAAGGTCTGCATATGAAACATGTTGTGCCTATCTAAAACAAATCAAATAGTAGGCTTACTAGCTTCCACAGGCTAAAGCAACTCAAATCTCTCACCAGCAAAATACCTCGTCAGTTAAATGCCATTTTACGTTTCTATACGATACAGTATTTATTATCATTATAGTATTACTATTTTGGCGATTAGATAAAATATAAATTATATTTGATGCAACTTTAGTTACATTTCCATGACTTTTCCAACATTTTGGGAAAAATATTCCATAACTTTTCCAGGGCCTGGAATTAGCTTTTTGAATTTCCATGACTTTTCCAGGTTTTTAATGACCGTAAGAACCCTGCTTGTTAAATTCCCCCAAAGATGTTGATTATCTTGTTAACAGGACAATGATTGCCAGTTGTTGTTTTTTTAGCAATGTATCCTTGAACACTTTTCTATCAGTGTTATTTTATGTAGAATTTCTTAAAATACTCGGAAAATGACAGAATTACCACATGGCCATGTTAGTCACCGTTTTTACTTCCACAGTTTTAATGATTTATTCCACTTCAAACACCATCTAGATCAAACGTTTTCCCTAATGTCTAGTAGCTTCATTTGTTCAGTTTTTGCCGAAAAACAGAACACTTACTCAGGAAGAGAGCTTTGTTTTTTTAATTCAGATGATCTATTTTGTTCAATTGTATTTTCACTATAATAAAGAAGAGATTCTATATTACACTCTGAGGGATTTGTGTGTTTTATGGATGTCAAAAATGTTCCATCACAACACAATTCAATCAAATAATCTAATTTATTTACAAAAACAATGTGCAAAAGAATCAAACAAGATTTATTAGGATGCATATTTCATGAGGGGTGTGTGTGTGTGTGTGTGTGGTCGTGTGTGTGTGTGATATTAATGTGAGTGTGTGAGGTTTGTGAGGGTCCTCAGTCGGAGGGGTAAGGCCACGTTGGTGTCTCTGTGCCACTGGGGGGTGGTGACGTGTGCAGGGGGGGTCAGGACGCTCTGAGCCACACCGGGGGCTTTTAGCAGCGACCACAACTCCTCGCCTCGCGTTACTATGGCAACAAGGTCTTCTTCATCGGAGCACCAGGCGACCGACCCGCCTCTGGTGACCGTTCTCAGCTTGGAGAGGAACAGAGACACCCTGAAATATGGATCAAATACACCGTTACATGACATATTTGATTTGATTTGTGTAAAACAATAATACAAAAAAATAATAATTATAATGAAATTTAACATGAGAATTATTATACAATACAAAATGAAGCAGTGTCAAATTGATAAACAAACATATTACTGATTCTAAATTATATATAAACAAATGATCTACTTCATTACACATCCAAAAAGGGGTGGGAAGACGTTTACACTTATTTAATCCCACCCCTTCTCCCAAAAACTAAATTATTAACATATATATATATTTTCTTTTCTTAAAGAAATACATTTGTTACAAAAAACAAAACAAAAACAACAAATAAATAAACAGATAAATAAACAAACGAATATATAAAAGAGGTAAATGGTTATCAAGAAAAGATAAATTAACAAACCAAATAAATAAATAAACCGTAAACACCCAGTTATGATGAAACAATTTAATCCCTGTATCTTGTTAAAATCAATGACATTAAAAGGTAAGTAATTTGTGTCATGAAGTGTAAAGTACAAGTAACCTCCAAACTGTACTTAAAGGTAGGGTAGGTAAGAACCAGCTCGAGTGCGCTTGAATTTGAAAATACACAACCGGAAAAAATCTGCCCCTTCCTTCAGACTTTCTTACAGAGCCCCTCCTCCAACACACACGAACGAGCACATGACCAATGAGGGCACGAGATAAGTTTGTGCACAGATGGAAGGCTGACAGGCAGGTAGGCCATCCAGTTATTTTAGCCGGGCTGGCTAAAATGATTGGTCGTGCTTTTTACAGTACCACGGCTTCCACAGATGAAATGTTTGTATGTATTTATTGTCAAAGCATTTAATATATTCATTGCTATCGGGATGTTAAGAGCATTCCATGGAATATAACAAGTGTATCTGAAATGAATTACCTACCCCACCTTTAAAAAAAACAGCGATTTGGGGTTGTATGCTTCCACCAACCAGTGTGAAGACTTTGAAGGAGTTTAAAAAAAAAATATTGAGTGTAGTTTTGGATTAAATGGAGTTTATCATTTTATTGACATGAATGGTCAGCAACGACATTCCCCTTCGTGTGTGGACGCTCCGAACACATCTTTAACCTGGCAGCATAGAATCATTTTCTAAATGAACAAAGATTAAAATAGGTACCGAAGATTAGTGTCACATTACAGTTTGATGTAAACCAAGCAACTTACAATAAGTCAACCAAGATACAAACAGCAAGAATCCCGCAAGTGCATGAGCCTTAAACAAGCTTTCAATGAGCCATAAATCCACACCATTTTAAATGCTATGCACAGAAATCAGAATTAGCCCACTGTGCTCTGATTGGTCGGCCCGCCCACTCTGTTCTGATGAGTCCACCACCGTTACAGCGGAACATCAGTGATTATGTGTTACAATGGCGTTAGCAACCAGAAAATGACACCAGCAATGACAAACAGATGAGATTGCTGCGTGGGGTCTGGGTGCCGTGTTGGCGGGACGTTGCGGGGCTCGCTGCTGGAGCGGACAGTGTGAGCTGGATTACTGGGGTCGTTCCCTGGTTGCTGCGTGGGGTCTGCGAGACAGCGAGACATCGCGAAACTCACCTGAACTCAGCCTGAGCACACACACAAACTCAGGCTGAGTTCAGGCTGAGAAATCCGCGGAGCCGCAGCTGAGAAAAGATAAGGCTGTGTGTGTGTGTGTGAGGAGCTCCACGGATTGGTCCATTTGGACCCATGGGCACGTCACTGTACTCAGGAAGAAAACAATGGAGAAAGAAAAATCTCCAACGAGGCGTTCTGGGGCAGCATAGACAGGTATTTTCTGTGTTAGAGTTTTACTCGCTACAGGGTGTACTTTGAGGGTTTGTGACTCTGCACACCGTTTACATGCAGAACAACCTTCATAACACACAAGGGGACGGGTAATAACTGGAAAAGCATGACATGGGAGCTTTAACAGGTTATAACAGGTCATAATGCAGTCTTATAAAACTAAAGGATGTGCCAAATTTGATAAAACTTCATCAAGGCTGTGTTCGTGTTCAGGAGAAAGGGCCAGACTTTACAATATATTATGGAGGTGTTAAAGGTCAGCTATTATGCAAAACCCTCTTTTTCATGTCTCTTCTACATCAGCATGTGTCCCCTTTTTTCCATGTCTCTTCTACATCAACATGTGTCCCCTCTTCTTCATGTCTCTTCTACATCAACATGTGTCCCCTCTTCTTCATGTCTCTTCTACATCAACATGTGTCCCCTCTTCTTCATGTCTCTTCTACATCACCATGTGTCCCCTCTTCTTCATGTCTCTTCTACATCAACATGTGTCCCCTCTTCTTCATGTCTCTTCTACATCAACATGTGTCCCCTCTTCTTCATGTCTCTTCTACATCACCATGTGTCCCCTCTTCTTCATGTCTCTTCTACATCAACATGTGTCCCCTCTTCTTCATGTCTCTTCTACATCAACATGTGTCCCCTCTTCTTCATGTCTCTTCTACATCACCATGTGTCCCCTCTTCTTCATGTCTCTTCTACATCAACATGTGTCCCCTCTTCTTCATGTCTCTTCTACATCAACATGTGTCCCCTCTGTGTAAAGAGATTCTGAAAGTTTCAGGAACAAAGATTCTCTCTCTTTTTGTCCTGATCCATTTATATAAAAACCTGTCTGAAAATGAGCTGATCAGATTTTGGCCACTTTGTGATGTCATAACGATGTTTTGTCTTGTGTAACCATTAGCCAATCACCAACCAAGGTAACCCCCCCCCCCCTTATCACCTGAATCTCCTCCTAGAGCACCATTGTGTTCTTTGTAACCAAATATCTCTCAGAGGGCCGTGGGGAGGGGCTCCTTATTTTCATCTAAAGTAACAGACAGAGAATCAGTACTTTTGAAACAGGGCTGAAACAGAGGGGATTATGGGATGCTGCAATGATCTGTTTGGTGTTTGGAGCCAAACACTTCAGAGACATGTTCTGTATATATCTGAGACCTATATGAAAAACAGTATAATAGGGGACCTTTAAATCCATCAAGGCAGTGTTTGTGTCCAGGAGAATGGAACAGACCTTCAAATATATCATGGAGGTGTTAAAACATGCGTGTGAGGCGGTCACCTGGGTATGAGGTCATGTGATCGTGACGCCAGCTTGGCCAGAGCGCTCATCAGAGTGGTGACGACTCTGGGGGCGGGGCAGTCTGTGCCGGGCGGGGGGGCGGAGGACGTGATCTCAAACAGCACCGCCTCCAACGCCTCGAAACAGGAAGTGATGAGCGTCACGGAGCAGCGGGAGTCACATGACACCGAGAGGTATTCTCCCAGCACCCACACCTGGAGGAACAACAAAGGATTCTTTTGCCACGTTTTCTGAATGATGTGACAGGGAAGGGATGCTGAGGGAAAAGCTTGAGGTTTTTATCCAAAGATCTACAGAAATTAAAATATTTGGAAGAGTTTGATCCTCTTCTCTGTAGCACGTAGACACACAGTTTTTTGCATTTTAAGAAATGATATGGTAACTAGGCATACACACCTAAAGAGTGAGAAAAATGTAATTTTCAAATTGTAAAATTGATGAATAATATATATGATAAAGTTAACAAACGTCATAAGTTATCATCAATTTCATTTTACATTTAGATGTATTTTATAATTGTTATTGTCTTGTATTTTTGTACATTGTAACCCATGTTTTTTGGTCTATAAAGCCCCCTGAGACAAATGTGTTTTCTGATCACCACGGTGCTAGTGCAGCACCCTCATGTACTGTCAAGTCGCCGGACTGCGGAGCGCATAAAGCAGACTCTTCACGCTAACGAAGGATCACTTCTTCGTCAGGGCAGGGAAGGCTACGCAGTACGCAGGCTACTGTCCCGCAGCTGCTGCCTCTCTGTTGGACTCCGGTACTGCACATTACTCATGAGACGTAATGAGTAGGGGGCGAACGCACTAACCAGCGCGTGCCGGATGAGAATGTCTGGCGTGCCAGATTTGGCCCACGGGCCGCCAGTTGATGGTCACTGGGCTATATGAATCAAAATAGATTTGATACACTAATTGTTTTATGTAACCGTAGGGTATTGTGGATACCTCTCCCATTCTTCCCTTTTATGTCAAATATATGAACTGAATTTCAAATTGTTATGGTTTTCATTCCATACAGTATTAATTTACAAGATCCTATCACCTAACCAGTTCCTTATCATTTATTTCCTTACTGCTACTCTACTAGGAATATGATGGACAGAATCTGTCTTGTTGTTTTTTCTCCTGGTGTTTTATTTCTCCGTGTATTTACCACATGAGTGTAGAGTTCCTCCTTGCTGTAGACGTTGGCCGTGGCTCCAGAGAACTCCAGCAGCTCGTGGGACTGATCCATGACCAGAGAGGGGTGCAGCTTACACAGCCTCAGCAGGTGGGAGCTGAACACCCTGCAGACACACAGAGAGCAGGATATCACATTATTTAATGTGTGTGTGTGTGTGTGTGTGTGTGTGTGTGTGTGTGTGTGTGTGTGTGTGTGTGTGTGTGTGTGTGTGTGTGTGTGTGTGTGTGTGTGTAGGGGCACCACGAAAAGATATCACAATGGTTACTTAAACATTTTTTTCTTAATGTTCTAAAATAGTATGGGCCCCTGTCAGTCACGGGCCCTTAGAATCGTCCTAACTTTTCACCCCCTTACGGCACCCCTGTGTGTGTGTTAATGTTATGTATTCATAGTAAAAAAATGAGGCCTTATCGTAGTGTCTTTCTTTTACAATTCAAATGCTTTCTGTAGCACTGAACCGTCAGTGTCAAATAACGTATAACCTTAAATCCATACTGATGCTTTTGTACAGATGTGATGTGAAGGAAGAGAGGTGTGTGTGTGTGTGTGTGTGTGTGTGTGTGTGTGTGTGTGTGTGTGTGTGTGTGTGTGTGTGTGTGTGTGTGTGTGTGTGTGTGTGTGTGTGTGTGTGTGTACCTGTGTATCTCTTTGTTGTATTTGGGGATGTTGAGGAGGAGGCTGCTTCTCTCCAGCATCACCAGGATCAGGTGAGCTAAGAGCTTCTCATCTGCTACCTAAAGACAGACACACATTGTTTTAAGCCAAAACTAAATATGCATTATCTTAATGTACTGGAGAGTATTAGGGTCAGGCTTAAGAACCATAAATTAGATGTTTTCTTATACCTGGCACCAATCAACTAATCATCTTTTCCCTCTCTTTATCTGCTGTTGTAATCATGTACATTTAAATAAGGGATTTCTGATTCTGAATTCTAAAAGTTCAACCTTATCTTTCCTTTCTTTTACAACTCTCATTTATTTAACATCATAGCGGGCTCTTATACTTTTCAACTGTTCTGTACGTGCAGTAGTTGAAGTTTCTTTACCGTAATAACAGTGTTGAAAAAAATGTGCAACAGCACAGGGACAGTCTGGGCACACTGAACAACTCTCGGCCAATCAGCAGTCTCCACCAGCAGCTCATGGAGCGTGCTCAGTCGGTCGATTGTGTCTCCTGTGGAGGGAGAGAGAGAAATGATTCTATGAGTCATGTTTTAAAAAATAAAGACACACATTTAACAGTAGCAAGTTAGCCTAGCTTAGCATAAAGAAAGGGTAAAACAGCAAGACAGCACCTTGAGAGATCAATAATTAACACAAAACATCAGGAAAGATATTTGGTTACCTGAGCCCGCTTCCCCTCTCAGCAGGAAGAGGAAAAGCCCTCTGAAAGACGGGCTTCGAAAGGCATCGAGTGACAGGAGGCCACGGCCACTCTGCTCAGAGATGGGCAAACAAGTTGACCTGCACGGACACATAAACAACAAAAAGAAATCAGTAAGACAGTGGTCAAAATAAGATCCTAGTTGATGTAGTGGTAGGCAGTCCATATTACATATTAGTGGTAGGAAGTACATGGACATATCTTAAACAGTTTAGAAAAACTATTTTTAAGCTAGCATTTCATTAGGAGTCATTTTAAAGCCTTCATTTTTAAGCTTTAATCCTTGGTTTTCACACTGGTTGTTTATTTGATTACACTACACTGCTCAATACTGGATTCTGATTGGTCCTTTTTGGAACATTCAGCAATCTGTTATTTCTCGACAGCAGGCCGTTGCTAAGGACCCTGTGATCAATGGACCATGTGCAGTCTTATCAATCCGCAGAAAGAAGTCCGGTCAATTTAACGTCAGCTGTGGCGGATGTGAAGCACTCTAAGCTGCATGTGTGTATAATAGGTGCTGTATATATATATTTGTATTCATACAGTTTTGATCTAAAGTGTGTGTGTGCACCTGACTTGCAGCACCAGCGTGGCGGACAGACAGGGCAGGTCCAGCAGAGTGTGCAGCAGCTCCACTGCAGTACCAGCCGTCACCAGAGAGGGCAGCAGGTCCACAAAATCATCCACCACCGCCGGGCTGTCCCACGCCAAGAACTGCAGGACAGACAGGAAGCTTGAGTATCCATCACTTCTCTTCCCCATCCTGCAGTAGGTGTGTGTAGACTCGAGTGTACAGCAGTGTGTGTGTTCACCTTCAGCAGGTTAGGGAAGGAGTGTGTGTAGACTAGAGTGTACAGCAGTGTGTGTGTTCACCTTCAGCAGGTTAGGGAAGGAGTGTGTGTAGACTAGAGTGTACAGCAGTGTGTGTGTTCACCTTCAGCAGGTTAGGGAAGGAGTGTGTGTAGACTAGAGTGTACAGCAGTGTGTGTGTTCACCTTCAGCAGGTTAGAGAAGGAGTGTGTGTAGACTAGAGTGTACAGCAGTGTGTGTGTTCACCTTCAGCAGGTTAGGGAAGGAGTGTGTGTAGACTAGAGTGTACAGCAGTGTGTGTGTTCACCTTCAGCAGGTTAGGGAAGGAGTGTGTGTAGACTAGAGTGTACAGCAGTGTGTGTGTTCACCTTCAGCAGGTTAGGGAAGGAGTGTGTGTAGACTAGAGTGTACAGCAGTGTGTGTGTTCACCTTCAGCAGGTTAGGGAAGGAGTGTGTGTAGAGTGTACAGCAGTGTGTGTGTGTTCACCTTCAGCAGGTTAGGGAAGGAGTGTGTGTAGACTAGAGTGTACAGCAGTGTGTGTGTTCACCTTCAGCAGGTTAGGGAAGGAGTGTGTGTAGAGTGTACAGCAGTGTGTGTGTGTTCACCTTCAGCAGGTTAGGGAAGGAGTGTGTGTAGACTAGAGTGTACAGCAGTGTGTGTGTTCACCTTCAGCAGGTTAGGGAAGGAGTGTGTGTAGAGTGTACAGCAGTGTGTGTGTTCACCTTCAGCAGGTTAGGGAAGGAGTGTGTGTCGAGTGTACAGCAGTGTGTGTGTTCACCTTCAGCAGGTTGGAGAAGGAGTGTGTGTAGACTAGTGTACAGCAGTGTGTGTGTTCACCTTCAGCAGGTTAGGGAAGGAGTGTGTGTAGACTAGTGTACAGCAGTGTGTGTGTTCACCTTCAGCAGGTTAGGGAAGGAGTGCGTGTACTGCGGCACTCGGAGCTGCAGACTCTCGAGGTTCAGTCGGAGGAAGCGCAGGAGCTCGTGAGCGAGGAACGGGTCGTTGAAGAGTTCGGCGGGAAAACGAGCGAACACCAGCGCCCACACCGACCCACAATCCACTGCAGCCATCTCGCCTACACATTAAAGTACAGGGTCAGCGTTTTAAAGAAGACACTACAGGGGACCAGAGTAACAGAAGACTAACGTAGATTATTAACCTTGAAGTTATAATCTTTGCTGAAATGTTATGTATTCATAGTGAAAAATGTGTGTGTGTCTTTCTTTTACAATTCAAATGCTTTCTGTAGTACTGAACTGTCAGTGTGAAATGACTTATAACCCTAAACCATACTGATGCTTTTGTACAGATGTGATGTGAAGAAAGAGAGACGTGTGTGTGTGTGTGTGTAAAAGTGTGTGTGTAGATGTGTACACACACCGTGGTTGAGGTAGAACTGGGCGATGGGCAGCAGCACCCGAGCGAACGACAGATCTGAGCTCAGCCGACCGAAGAGCGCCTTGATGCACGGAAACGCCCGGAAGACCAGCGAGGCGTCTTCCTCACACACACAGTCCAGGATACACACCGCCTCCACCAGGCACTGAGGGGGGGGGGGGGGGGGGACGACAGAGAGGCATCAGGACAACATCTGGATTACATTATTGCTTTGTTTTTAGTAAGAAGTTTCCTAAATGTCCCACAATAACTTTTTGCTCTCAGATCATCAGGTGCTCAATGTGTGTCTACCAATCAGGGGGTTGGTGTTTCCATCCCCGTCCCTTACAGTCAACATGTCTCCATTAGTAAGATACCCAAAAATGCTAATACAAAACCCCCACAATGCCATTGAAGAAAATGTGAATTTCTGAGATTAAAATTGGTTATATTTCCTGAACTACTTTTGACTTAATGAATTTATGACGAATTGGTTGGTTGGTATTTTTGTGAGTTTAATATCAGTAATATCCAAGTTTCTCTATTCTCGTAAATGTAGGACTTTAATCTTATAAATATTATGGTCCAAGTGTGCTCTGATAGTGCTTATAAATGACACACAGGCTCACCGCTTTCTGCAGGTCTGCATCTGACTTTTTGTGCGCCTCTATGAAAACAAAAGAATAAACATGAATACATTTCAAACGTAAACAAAGTAAATTATAATGTACAGATACACAATCATAGAAAATGACCATATACTCTTTGTAAGTATTTATTTCCTGGATAAATTGGCTTATTTAAAGCGAATATTACTGCACTTGTTTCTTCATGGTTTACTGCACATAGTGTAAGTCATTTTGGATAAAAGCTTCCGCCAAATGAAACGTGTTGCAATGTCATTTCTAGATCTTAAGATACAACTACACAAATGACTTCCCTCTCCCACACACTGCACAGTTTCACACACACACTGCACAGTTTCACACACACACTGCACAGTTTCACACACTGCACAGTTTCACACACACACTGCACCGTTTCACACACACACACTGCACAGTTTCACACACTGCACAGTTTCACACACACACACACACGCACACACTCACTGCGGTCGCTCTGCTCGATGAGGCGCTGGCAGTACTGGAAGGATTTCTCTCTCAGACGCTCCTTCGGAGGCAGCAGGCGGCTGGAGGAGGAAGTCACAGAAACCATGGAAACCACCGATCCATCCACCTCCGAACGGTCATCTGTAACACGGGAGGTCAGGAGGGACAGGTCAAGATTATTATTATTATTATTATTAGTATATATTATCATAACCACAGTCCCCACGATGTATCTGAACAGAGAGCAGGAGTTATTATGATTGAAGAGGTTTTTCTTCATGGAGATCTCGAGCAATGCCCCGATTTACAGAAGAGGAAAACAATAAATCAAGAGGTCATTTTTTATTTTAGCCGCAAGAAGCAGCAAGGAATGACCTGTGTGATTGAGAAACAAGATTTGTAATAACGACAAAAACGTTGTAGCTGTACAAGAAAACTCTTTAGATTAGATTAGATATACTGATTTCATCTAAAATCCCTGAATTAAAAAATAACAATATACAGTTATTATCAAGTGTTAAAAGTATTGCAGAGTTGCATATTTGCACAGATTATACAGCGTAAGTAAAGTCATAAAAATCAATGCAAGACATTTTTAAGATCAGCGTTTCAGTCATTTGTCACAGAAGTTCATTCCTGATTACACACTCTGAGATTGAAGGAAAGGAAAAAGGTGCAAACACCAGTGAGAGAGACGTTAAGAAGTCACAGATTTAGGATTCCTGGAGAGTCGGTTTGTTAGATCAGCTGTGAGTCAGGATCATTTCAGAGTGCTGAGAGTGGAGCTGTGAGGAAGAGTTGTTCACAGCGTCTGAGATGCACGCGCATGCAGATGGAGGCCCACCAATGGACAAGTCTTACCATTAGAGAAGGAGTGGGAGTGGGAGAGGGAGAGGCTGAGCTGCAGCCTGTGAGCTGGAGGTGAAACAGAGCAGGTCATCTGAGGCGGACATGTTTAGGCTGGATATGTGAGGTTGATGCTGCCTCTAGGGCTGCAGGGTTTGAACAAAAACACCCAATTGCAAAAAAATGTGGCCGATACTGCAACTAAGATATAGTGGGGTTTATCACTTTGGTATATTTGTTCTAATTATCATTAAAAAATATCATGAAATAGTCATGGTGTGATGGAGGGCAGAAAGCATAGAATATCAAATAAATTGCCTCCCATCTTTTTGTTTTGTTAGTTTTTTGTTAAAAACCTCAAATTTTTGGGTGAAAAAAATTACATTATATATAAATAGTAAATAAATAAAAAGAACTAGATCACCTAGAAATTTACTTTGACCCTATCTAATAATTTTTAAAGATGAACTTAAGAACACAACAGCCTGTTTTTCTTTTCTTGAAACACATATTTTGTTTAACTGAACAATATTAAAAATTAACATACGTTTGTGCAATCTGTTAGTATAATATTCCTTAATTATATTTAAAGTGTAGATGAGAAAAAATACTTAAAAGATTCAGGCTCAGTCTATTCCGTATTTTAACACCAATTATGGAAAAACGGTGTGACTTTATTGTGGTTTTATAGAGCTTTCTACAAAAAGTGGTAGTTTGTCTAGAAAGGTACTTGCTATCTTTCATTCGCAAATGTTTTTGGACGCTTTCTAAAGGACATGAAGTGAGCTACTGAAGTAACTTAATGACATGAAGCGATGAGTATCTGTAGCGTGCGAATGTTGTGATTGTTGTGGAGGACCTACCAGTGTCCGCTGTGCCGTTGCCGTTAGAAACCGAGTGGTAGGTGAGCAGCCAGTGGCGCAGCGCGGAGAAGGAGAAGACGTTCATCCACTGGTCCTCCGTGAAGCTCTGCCCCACACACAGCACCGTGAAGAAGTCCCCCGACACCGTGCCATCCAGCTCCGCTATCGGCACCGGCTGAGAGCAAACACACAATATTTGTGTCTCAATATAATATTTGTATTGAGAAGAAAAGCATACAAGTGTAAGCAATAGTACAGACTACAACACATATAATACACAACACATTTGAATACACTGTAATAGACCAACTTACTTCTAAAACAAAATATATTAACTTAATACCGGTCCATATCATTCAGGAGAATTCTCAAGTACATTTCAAAAGGATGCTAAAAAATCATCTCAGTATTATAAAGTAAAATTGAACTGTGCCTGTGGGTATGTATTATTAAGTACAATTATTTGTATTTTTTTGTTTGGCCTTATGACGGCTAAAATTGGATGACCATTTTAGTGTTCACTTCATATAGCACTCTAAATGGCATGAAATTATGAGCTGTTTTGTTTTATGTATGTTTTATGTATGTTTATGTATGTTTTGTGTGTGTGAGGACCCCAGGAAGAATAGCCAATGCTCATGCTAGAGCTAATGGGGATCCTAATAAAGAATAGAATAGAATAATACTTTATACATAGAATATACAAGTGTGAGATGCAGGATCTTTTTTAATATTAAAATGTAAATACAATGACGCAGAGTTGAGTACACTATCTCTCTTTGCCTGCTTACCTGACGTGACCTCGGCCCTGTGAAGAATCCTCCAGAGGAAGCCCCGCCTCCCTGAAGGATGCTCGCATAACGCAGCCAATCAACAAGCTTTTTACTCAGGAGGGTCACGTGATCTGTAGGTGAGGTGGGAGGTAAGACAAAGGATGCTGGTTCTTAGGATCACTGATTAGACGTCTAGTTTTACTTAAAGGTCCCAGATTATACTGTTTTTCATCAATATATTATAGGTCTCAGATATATACAGAACATGTCTCTGAAGTGTTTGGCTCCAAACACCAAACAGATCATTGCAGCATCCCATAATCCCCTCTGTTTCAGCCCTGTTTCAAAAGTGCTGATTCTCTGTCTGTTACTTTAGATGAAAATAAGGAGCCCCTCCCCACGCCCCTCTGAGAGATATTTGGTTAGAAAGAACACAATGGTGCTCTAGGAGGAGATTCAGGTGATACGGTGGGGGGGGGGGTTACCTTGGTTGGTGATTGGCTAATGGTTACACAAGCCAACACATCATTATGACATCACAAAGTGGCCAAAATCTGATCAGCTCATTTTCAGACAGGATTTTATAAAAATGGATCAGGACAAAAAGAGAGAATCTTTGTTCCTGAAACGTTCAGAATCTCTTTACACAGAGGGGACACATGTTGATGTAGAAGAGACATGAAGAAGAGGGGACACATGTTGATGTAGAAGAGACATGAAGAAGAGGGGACACATGTTGATGTAGAAGAGACATGAAGAAGAGGGGACACATGTTGATGTAGAAGAGACATGAAGAAGAGGGGACACATGTTGATGTAGAAGAGACATGAAGAAGAGGGGACACATGTTGATGTAGAAGAGACATGAAGAAGAGGGGACACATGTTGATGTAGAAGAGACATGAAGAAGAGGGGACACATGTTGATGTAGAAGAGACATGAAGAAGAGGGGACACATGTTGATGTAGAAGAGACATGAAGAAGAGGGGACACATGTTGATGTAGAAGAGACATGAAGAAGAGGGGACACATGTTGATGTAGAAGAGACATGAAGAAGAGGGGACACATGTTGATGTAGAAGAGACATGAAAAAGAGGGGACACATGTTGATGTAGAAGAGACATGAAAAAGAGGGGACACATGTTGATGAAGAAGAGACATGAAAAAGAGGGGACACATGTTGATGTAGAAGAGACATGAAAAAGAGGGGACACATGTTGATGTAGAAGAGACATGAAGAAGAGGGGACACATGTTGATGAAGAAGGGGATTTTGCATAATAGGTGACCTTTAAAAACAGCGGAAGACACTGTGTGTTACCTTCAGTGAGGCACTCGAGGTTGTGTGTGAGGATGGTGTTGAGGATGGGCAGAGTGTGTGTGAGCGAGTTGGTCGGCCCCTCTGATTGACGGCTCTCCAGACCCCGAAGGAGCTGACTGCAGAGAGACGACACGTCTGCCCTAGATCCTGCCTGTTGGGGTTTAAGTTTAAACGTAAATCTTTGAATAGTGTGTGTGTAAGTGTGTTTTCAATGCCACCAAACATATTTATTCTAAAAAGTTGACCTTCACACACAAAGAAAACAACTATTGAACATTTACCTTAACCTATACAACTCTTTCGTGTTCAAGGATTTTGACATTATTTAGATAGCCTCCTAGATTCTTAAATATGTCTCAAAGTAACTATGAGTGAAGCTGAACTGAGCTTTTATTGTACAATGCCATGTCTTTTTATGCTGCTGCAACACAAACATGTCCCAAATTGGGATCAATAAAGTACTTCTTATCTTATCTTATATCCTCTCAGTCTTTAGACACATACTCTTGGCTGACTTTAACATGTATTATGTCTCTTATAGTATTTTAAACAAGATAATCTTTAATTAAAATCACCAGTGGGTCTGTGTCTCTATTGTGTTTTATTCTATCTCGAGTAAAGCTGCTCCAGAGCCACTATTTCAAGCATACTACGTCATCGAGTGCCGCCGAAGGACTGTTCCAATCTCCAGCATACTTGGAATTCTACCGAGCCCGGCGTACTTCGTTTGGAGAAATTTCGAGGCTGCACATGTGTGGACTCCACGGTCTTAAAATCCCCACAATGCTTTGCGCACGGACCAATTTCCCCAAATCTGTGGCGGAAAATGTAAGGCGGGGCCTCTCATATGACGCACACCTGCACACTTGCTAGCCTGTTCCACTCTTTGTTTTCCGAATGCCAGGAAGTATTCTTGCCTCGCTTCTGAAGCGAGACGCTCGGAAGACATGTGCTACCAAGCAAGCGTACTCGAGATTGAGAAACACTCTATGTCCTGAGTGTTTAGGTATCTGATCCACAGTCACTGCTCACCTGTGAGAGCAGCAGGGCGGCAGCATGGCTGTTCAGCTGGACGATGTTCTCCTGGCTGTAGTTCCCCGAGTGAGCAGCAGGTGGCAGCGTCTCTCTGAGCACCGCTGAGCTCAGCACCTGAAACTGCTCGGCAGGGGAGGAGAGGAGCGACTGAAGCCTCTTCTGAAGCTCTGGAGGCAACCTTTAAAACAAATAAAACCTCACACTGAATATGAGAGAGTTTGGTGAAGAAAAGCTGCTGTGAAGACGAAGACAAAAACAGAGCCAGAATGTGATGATAAACAACTGCGTATTAGGGTCATCAAAAATATACATTTGGGAGTCGGGACCAAGGTTGTAAACTTAGGATAAAGTAAAAAAATTAAGAACAACAACATTTTTTTTTTTTAATGTTATAATTAATAATCAAAGAAAACAAAAAGATAGTAAATTATTGAGTTTTTATCTAGAAAATGCACTATTTAAATCTCAGTTAAATCTTGTAAACATACTAACTTCACAAATGTAAAAAAAATGTAACCCCTTCCCCAAGCTAGGTAATATAGCTATTTCAATATTTGTTTTTAATTTTAATTCTAGAAGAAATATAACAAAAAAATGATGTTATGAAAATAAAGCTTCACATTGTGGCTCTTTTTGTTTTGGCAGGTAAGAACCTCACATAGAAACATGGGGGATCAGAGGAGAGTCAGAGGGAGGAAAAGGAAGTGAAAGAGGGTGACGTTGGATAATGATGGAGCAGGTTGAAAGGAATGAGGGAGGACAGAGGGAGGTGGATGGTGTCTGGGAGGTGCAGGCTGGATCTCTTACGTCCGGATGTACTTGTTGGCGGAGAGGATGAGGTGCAGCCTCTGCAGCGAGTCCACCGTCTCGTAACCCAGCTCCTTCCCCTGGAGCAGCTTCACCAGCCGGCTGTAGAACTTCTGCAGCTCAGAGTCCTGGATCTCCCTGAAAAACACACAGCGCACCTACTTTTGTCGTTTCTAAGTCCTTCATACCGTTGTCTAAAATATGTCACACTCTGGCTGATTGACAGCATATTAATCGACTAGCTGATCTGTCCTTAGATACAAATTATAATAATAAAGCTTTATTTGAATAGCACTTCTCATACAGCAGGTGAAGCTCAAAGTTATATCACAACATCATTAAAAGACCAACTAAACGGGGGTGTCGCTAATAACAAGCTAGTCTACAATTTTGTTATCTTGAGGTTTCGTTGAAAATGTCCACTTTAGGTTGTTAACCTGTAAAAAGTAACAACAATACCTTATGTTGTCTAAATAAATTACCAATAAAAACACAACATTCTTGGTAATAAGAACCATTGTTAGCCCTCCGAATGGATATAAACAGATGTAAAAGTAACACAAAATGAACGTTAACAATAAAAGCAACAAAGCATATTAAGGTTTTGACAGGTTACCTAGCTTCAGCCTAGTTAGCTTAGCAGCGGAAATGCTAACTGGACGTGTGTAAACCAGCTGAAGAGAAGGGTTGAACATGAAGGATAAAGTTTGTCATTTTAAGTTTCATTACCTTGCTTGTTTAATTAAACTCTCTGAGCCGTGAGAGTACATGATGACAGAAAGATGAGCATTCCTCCTGTCAGCAGCGGAAGGTAAACAGTCCGCTCGCTAAACGAGTCCTGACAGGAATCACATGACCAGCACTTTAGTTCCGCTTTCACTACGGAAGAGTTATGGAGCTGCTCTGGCTTCACATTTAGAAACAAAAAAATAGCAATAACTAATATATTTTAATTTTCTTTTACCCCACTGTCTTATATTTTAAGGCTGCTTTTTATACTAGAGTATTTAGTCTTACATGTTTTTCTTATTTATAAAGTCAAACATAAGTCAATTTGTACAATGCATTTTCGATACCTTAAACTTCTACATTTCAGATGTAAGCTAATATTTTACAGATAATCCACTGTTTACTTCTTAACTAATCCCTGTACTTTGTAAATTCATTATTTAATATACACTTAAAAATCATGCATTGAAATGTAAAACTAGTTTTCTTTTTAATGTTAGTCACATCAGTAAACTTTACCCTGCTGAAAAAAACAGCTAAATTGACCAGCCAGTAGATATTAGGCTGGATGGTTGGCTGGTTTAGAGGGGTTTTGGACACTTTAGCTGGTGGCTGGTTTAACTGGTGCACTAGCTAAACCAGCCATCCTGGCCAGCTAAAAAAAAACAGCATCAGCATCCATCTATCACCAGCTTATGTTTAATAATAGTATTAAATATACCATGCTGGAAGCTTACCAGGATTCCAGGTGACCAGCAAACATTGTTTAAATACTGGTATGATTATTTAAACCAGAGAACATAAATTATTACAAAGATTCATTGTGTCATGTATTCTGGTATCTACCAAAATAAAGACATTGTATAGTGTTCATAACAGTATTTTAATTAAGTAATAGCAATAAATAGCTAGTTAATATAATAAAATACACAGTAACAATACAATAATTATACAAATAACAACCAACCTGCAAATCAACCTATACATCAAAATAAATATATATTCTGAAACCGGTGCATTTGATTTAAAATAAAAGTAATAAATAGAATTCAATATTTAAATGGTAACAAAAACAGTAACACTATGTATGATAAGAAAAAGGCAACAAAGAAAGTGTTTTTTGTTTTTCCTTGTTCATGTCCATAATGTTTCCCGTTGTGTAGCGTCCTGCATTTCTGTCTGCTGAAGCCACTTCTTGAAGCAAACTGAAAAGAAATGTACAGATATAAGTACACTGTAAAAAGAAAACTTGACATTGACGTTAACATTTGGGCTGCTGTGGTTGCCAGAACTTGACCGTTAAAGTATGGTAAAATACATTACAAATTACAGTTGGTTGGCATCTAGACGTTACAGTCAACAATTGCTTATGGTTATTTACAATGGCAAAAACAAATAGAGCTAGTGTACACGGTGCAGCTGTATTATCTGGGAAATAGAAGAATCAGATCAGGATTCGGTATTGGCAGACAATCAATATCAAATGAATCGGATAATTATTAGCATCAGCATTTGATCACCTTTGTCGACTTGCAGCCTAAATACAAAGATAACTCCACTCCTCTCCTACCACTCTTACCTCTAATGAGCCTTGGTAGAACTAGTGTCCGAGTCATAGGGTCCAGAACTGACTGAAGACATGTGGAACAGAGTCATAGGGTCCAGAACTGACTGAAGACATGTGGAACAGAGTCATAGGGTCCAGAACTGACTGAAGACATGTGGAACAGAGTCATAGGGTCCAGGACTGACTGAAGACATGTGGAACAGAGTCATAGGGTCCAGAACTGACTGAAGACATGTGGAACAGAGTCATGGAGTCCAGAACTGACTGAAGACATGTCGAACAGAGTCATTGGGTCCAGAACTGACTGAAGACATGTGGAACAGAGGACAGGCATGGTTCCATGTACAGGAAACTGGAACTTTGAACAGGTGTTTTCATCTTTTCTGCCTGAAGGCAAGGCAAGGCAAGGCAAGGCAAGGCAAGGCAAGGCAAGGCAAGGCAAGGCAAGGCAAGGCAAGGCAAGATTCACAAGTTCTTGATCAGGTGTTTGATGTGGGCTAGCATGATCCTTTCTGCAGTGATAAATAAAGAAAACAAAGAAAACATTATTAAAAATAGTAATGATGGTAACAGCAATAATATTAGTTTAACTATGCTGGTTTAGCTGGCCAGGCTGGTCTTGAACCAGCAAGACCAGCCTGGCCAGCTTGTCCAGCCTGGTAAACCAACTAAACCAGCATAACACCAGCTAAAACCAGCTAAAATCAGCAACCATCTTAAGCTGGTCTATGCTGTTTTTTTCAGCAGGGTAGGCCTACTAGAAAATGTTATAGTAAACGTATTCAGAAAATTACCGCAGTGTTTCATACTAGTATATCTAGGGCAAATACCTGATTCTGACACCAATTGAACCAATTCAATGTTTATACAGTAAGAACTAAGACTGGATGGATATTGTTTTTGTAGATTTTCAAGGCCACCGTACCTGATGACAGAGAGGTCACACACACTTCCCCCCCCCCCTCTCTCTCTCTCTCTCTCACTCTCTCTCTCTCTCTCTCTCTCTCTCTCTCTCTCTCTCTCTCTCTCACCTCTCTGCTGTCAGCGTGTTGTTTCTCTCTCTCTCTCTCTCTCTCTCTCTCTCTCTCTCTCTCACACCTCTCTGCAGTCAGCGTGTTGTTTCCTTTCTCTCTCTCTCTCTCTCTCTCTCTCTCTCTCTCTCTCTCTCTCTCTCTCTCTCTCTCTCTCTCTCTCTCTCTCTCTCTCTCC